GTCGATGTTGCCAATCTCGCTACTTGCTACTATGAAGTACGATTAAATGTTTTTGGAACCATATATTGGTGGAAAGGCTGATAAACGCTATGTTAGTAGTCCTGTTGCCAAAGCTTTGGTTTTGGATTGAAAATCGTGACTGGCACAACTGTTTTTGGATGTCTTCCTGGGGCTCAGCCTTACTGGACCCAAAAAAGCTTCAAAATCAACAATTTTATATAATCGATTGAATAAGGAAAAAAACTCCTGTGAGCCCAAGGCGACTACTAACGGTTGTGAGCCCAAGGCGACTACTAACATAGCATTTGCGCAGGGTTCCCAAACTTCCAATAGTACATCGTAATCATCATGGCAGCAAGTAGCCAGATTGGCAACTTTGACCAGGAGTTTTTTTCCTTATTCAATCGATTATATAAAATTGTTGATTTTGAAGCTTTTTTGGGTCCAGTAAGGCGGAGCCCCAGGAAGACATCCAAAAACAGTTGTGGTTTGATCTGGTCGGCTGGAGACTCAAAAGAGACACCTAACCTAGCAACCAGGGGTACTTTCATTCTAGATTGATTGATTGATGTGTTCGGTTTCCTGTTTTCTAAAACATGTTTTCCGTGGAGTTTGATGCTAACATAGCACTTTCCATTTGGTGGTTCCAAGCTGTGACAAGTCTCCAGACAGCTATGTTAGCTTATTCTGGTACATTTCTTTTACCCACTTCCTGGGGAATGCCAAACATTGGGAGGACGGAAACAGAGGCTATGTTAGCAGGTGTTGGCAGAAATCACCCAAATGATCACTTTCTCCAAATCCCCAGGGTTGACAACGTAGCCAGATGCTATGTTTGTGAGTTGGTGCCAGGGCTAAAAAAACGCTATGTTAGATTTCACCGGTGTAAGGGTTAGATGACTGGCCATGGAAAGCGTCCACTTAACGTGTCCGTGTTGTTCAGAGGATGTGGTTTTGAGATATGTGAGTGGTTATTGGCTGATCTATCCCCCAAAAATAGCTAACATATCCCAGATCAGGGTCGAAATCCAAGGGCCCCAAATGCAACTGGTTTTTGGAACCCCACATTGAAAAGGCCAATATTCAGTAGCTTGAGATATTGGAATCTCTTCGGGGAATGACTGCACTTACAAGACCCAATTTTTGTCAAAACACTGTTGTTTTCCCTGAACCCCAAAGTCATGGCCAGCATCCGAGATGAAGTGGCACAGGTGCTGCTCATTTGTTGTTCATTGTTTCCGAATTCCAACTTGCTAACATGTCCCAGTTTGGTACGAAAGAGCACGCACTGCACTTCCAATCCTTATTTCCAGACCGCATTGATAGCAAAACGAGCAGAAAAAAGAGTCCCAACTCCTCGGAAGAGCGCGTCATATATGAAGATTGGGGGTGTGTTCCAGAAACCAGTTGCATTTACTAAGGGTTACTGGCCATGGAAAGCGTCCACTTAACGTGTCCGTGTTGTTCAGAGGATGTGGTTTTGAGATATGTGAGTGGTTATTGGCTGAATCTATCCCCCAAAAATAGCTAACATATCCCAGATCAGGGTCGAAATCCAAGGGCCCCAATTGCAGGAACTGAGACATGTTAGCTGTTTTTGGGTCAATGTGTAAAAAGAAAGTTGCAATGCATTCCCCAGGAAAACGCCGGTATAGAGTGGACATGTTAGTTGACACCTGAAACGGTAGCCTGAGACACGTTTGTTCCCGGGAGTGTAGTTTGTATCCCTGAAGTTTGTGAATACACACCATTTTGTTGCTAAACTGCTAAAGCTCCTTCTTTGCTGCTGTGATACGATTAGATGTGTGCGGCTAAACTCCTAGTTTAGGTCGGTTGATACATTGAATCAACACCTTTTGCTGATAAAATTGATAAATCTCCATGTTTAGTTGTCATTTAACATATTTTAACATCTAAACGTGCTTTCGTTCAATGAACGAAGCTGCCACTCGTTGCTCACCATGGTTTGTAAGAGAGCGACAATGTTTCCCCCCTGTGCAAATCGAGGTTTCAAAAGAAAATTATCTATAAATTGTGGATTTTACAATGCCAGGTTTGTTTGCCAGAGGGTATACACATTTACAATCGTTTATAGATGCTTGCTTATAGTTCTACCAGCTATAAACTTCCATTTATGGAGGCTATCCTACATTGATTACATTGATGGCATGTGTTTTTCCAATTTGGGTCAGCTAGCCTAGAAGTTTCATGAACCGCACGACCAGCAGCTTTTCGCATCAGTGGTGAGGTGTCAGGCTGGAGCCTTAAAGTTTTCTGGTTGTCAAAACATCGGGAATCTTATGTTATCAACCCTAAGATGTTTAGGTGTCCAAAAAAGGGACAATTTAAGCTACCATCAAAGTAGTTCATCAAACTTTGTTAGGTTTCAACAAAAAACAACTTTAGAATGGCCACAAAGTGTGGCAGCCGCTCAGTTTTTGTATGTTTTTGTTGAATTCACAACGGCCAAGGTATCAAACCCTCACGGTTGACTCGGTGAAATCCTCCGTTCCGTTGCACAGCGTTTTGGGTTCCGCTGCGCCTTGGGTTCCGTTGGAAACCGGGAAATTGCTGGGTAACCTTCCAGGTACCTTGGAGATAAGCAACCTCTGATTGGTGGTTTGGAACATAGCTTTTATGACTTTCCATTTTCCATATATTGGGAATTTCATCATCCCAACTGACGAACTCATATTTTTCTGAGGGGTTGAAACCACCAATCAGTAATTCTGAGTTGATTATTTGGTTAACCCATCTGACAGGTAACTGCTTCTCGGTGAGGGTTGTAGAAATACATGGGCGGTTTGACCAACTCATGATGATATGCACACATATACATATTCATACATAATCAAACGTACATGTATTAGTATTAATACATTTCTAAAACAATCATGTGTGTATACATATTCCAACCTACATGCTTGCTGACTATGTCAAGTTGTATCTTTGGCTTTGCTCTTTGAGCTAGTATGTTATTGTTGGCGTGCCGCATTCACATGAGCGTTGACGACTGATATGGATATTTGCTAGTGGACAGGTTTCATTGCAAGCTGTCAATCTCCAAGTTACATATCCTGGTGTTTGATGTTTGATATGCTCACTTGGGGTTTGATGGATGCTCAACTCAACAATCCATCATGTTGCATGAGTACCCCTGTTTCTTGGTCAAAACGCACCAAATGCCCCATGTTTGGACCATTTGTGATTGATCATATTACCTGTTATGGCGAAGGAACGCGGCTAAGGTGTCTTGCAATAGTTACAGTACTATCATTGCTAAGAAGCAATGAAAGTCTACTCCCCCTGTACTCATCTGCGGCTTCACAAGCAATGGCATCTCCATGATTACAGCAATGGCTGTTGGCAATTAAGAAGTTGATATCACCAAATGGGACTATGTGCTAATCGTTGAGGCCCCATCATTGACCACGAGAATTGGGTGATATCAGGAGATGTTTGGTTTGGCCCAAAGAAAACGACCAGTCTTCAAGTTGTTTTGAATATGAATGTTGAAGGGCGTACATGTGCATCTAATACAATCACCAAATACATAACCTTTTTGTTCAACCATCCTATTTCCCCACCTATCATTTTCATACAAACACAAGTAACTCAATAGCATTCATTAAAACTCCATCAGCAGCAACTATGGAGGTTTACTATGATGGTCCCCTCTTTTCTTGTCACCCTAGTTGTGGTTTGTGATTTTCCCTTGAACAAATACAACCAGTATACAGTATATATACAGTTATATAGTTTTCACCCATCATTCCTGGGTTAGACACCATTCTTGTTTGTACTGGTTGCTCACCCATGAACATGTTAGCTAGTTACATTGTGAATCATGTTATGTCAGTGATCCAAGACTTGAATAAAGGGGTACAACCTTGATATTTCCTGTTATTGGTTCCCTTGAACCAATCGCATGGATGGATTTTCGCTGATTCATATATCCAATTCTATCACTTTATTACTATATACTGTATTATATATATATATATCCATTCATAGTTCCAGTTTTGTTTCTTTAAAATCCATTATGATCCATTGGTTATAGATCAGTTTCGATCCAATCCTCGGAGATTCTCCAGCAGCAAGGCATCCTGCCCACCCCCGTCTCCTGACTCCCTGTGGACGCCGAAGTGTCCGTTGCCACGGGTCTTGTGCATCAACGTCGCATGGCGGCGGGACCGGGGGACCGGAAGCAGTGGCTGCGATCTAGCCCTGATGGTTGATGATGAGTTGGGGGATAAAAAACTACCCAATTATCTGGGTAAATTATAACGACCTCACTACGACCTCACTGGAATCATGGTTAGTAAGGGAAATCATCCCCAAATGGGCTTAATTCAGGTTAGTGAAATATTTTAATTTACCCAGAATAATCCAAGAACACGGGGAATCCCTTTTTGAACCAACCAGGATTAAATGGAATGATAGAGGGATTTTGAACAATGCTCATGTGGAAGTTTCAAATTCCTGGTTCAATGGAGTGATTCTGGCAAAATCAAGGCAAAAGCTAGGGATTTAGATGAATTGAACTATGACTAATATGTGTTTTGTTCTTGATGGATTTTGGTCCTTTGTTGCACCGCCAGCGGAAACCAGCCGTGGTACATCCTATAAATATCATCCATCACACGAGGTTAATCTTTATTGTTTCATCGTTGATGTCAGGGATAAATAAACCCCTGGGCTGTTTAATTGGCGGGTGTACCATGTTACTAGCAGTTACTCGCAAAGAAACTGTTTGGTGGGTACCCCCTCATTAATCAACCAGGGTTAGTCATGACATGGACCTAGGATTCGATCCGAAGCACCGAGACCCAAAGAATAAGAAGGTTGGTCCCAAAGTCCTATGGTAATTTGGATTTGTCAGGGCAGATCTCAACGTTAGAAATCAACATATAGATACCAACATTCCTTGGGTCTGAATGTTCCGACTTGGTCTTGGGGTCTGAGAATTTGCCAAAATCTTGCATCACACCTGGGTCCAGATGTCTGACTCAGAGGCAGCCCATTTCGTTGAGGGCTATGGTATTGCTGGCTATGGCTACTGTTGGATTTTTGTACCTCCACTTCAATGGTTCTACAGGTATTGATCCACCTAGTATATCGAGTTCCCCTATTTCAAGACACATGGTTATGGGTCAAAACTGGGGTTGATACATGAGGATAATAACCCCTTTCATGGGGTTTACATATACACATTCTGAAGAATCTCGAATCTTAGTTGGATGTCTTCCCTCCGTTGCCACTGGTTTGTCCTTAAGGCAGGATACCCCTAAAATGCACGGTCCTTCCACATAACTAATTGTTTTTGTTTTAGTCTTTCATTACTTATTGATACTTATTGTATGGTCAAAAGGGATTCAACACGTACAATGGATGCCTCAATGGATTGCTTTAAGGGAAAATCTACAGGAACCCATAGATTTTTCCATGAAATATGGGGCTTTCCTGTATTTTTTCCATTAAACCAATGCATTGAATGCCAGTTTTATCATCATGTTTCCCTTTCAACAAACTGACGCGATCCCAGCATATCCCCTGGGACCCTGGGACCCTGGGACCCTGGGCTTGTCCGACCATCTGTGACCGAGGTCATGCTTCCCTACTACAACCCCAAGAACCCCTGGGCACTGGAAGACGGTGGTTGTAGCAGCTTGGAGCGTTGAAAACCACCAGGACTTGGTCGAGCGTTGGAATCATTGCAGGTTGGTCGAAATGGAACCAATGAAGGTGCCCTTGTTGGTCCAAGAAATGTGTGCCTTATGTGTGCTTTAGAATGTAAATCATCCAAGAGATTGGACTTGACTTGAGTAGATCTAATATCGAAACCCAAACCTCTGAGTTTGGCTTTAAAAAAATCTGTTCCTTTTTTTCCCGACTTGTCATTGCCTTCATAGATTCCTTGGAACTTGTCATGTTTCACTCAGCAAATTGATCTCGAGGTTACGTGAGTTTCTTCGAGATTACCAACGAGACGGTCTCACGACGTAAATGATGGGAATTGGATTGGGGAATCATCACAAAAAATCGTCAGTGATTTATCATGTTTTCATATTTTTTCCTTAATGAAAGTGACACAAAATCACCAGAACATTTCATCTCTTTTCTGTTGATTTATCATACTCAGCCAGATGATGTTAGCCGCTCGGCTTGGCTGCTCACAGTGTTTTATTCAGGTGTCGTCCATGTAAAGGTTGAACGCTGGAAGCTGTTCTGAACATGGGGCAGCAATCAGCATCATCCATAATTTGGCTAACGGCTACTTGTTCTCATATGATCCAGTTGGTGATAGTTGGTGTGTGATTTCCTTTGGTAATTTTGTGAGAGAAGCAATGATGTCGTTGACAGCGTTTCCAGCTTCGGACCCCAGGTGCAGCAATCTCAGAGTGAAACACCTCCGCCCAGTGTACCTTGGCAAGCCAGTGGCGGTGGGCTGGCCACATCAGTTCTTGAAACATTCCTAATTTGTAAACACCTGACCTGAAATGTTTGACTTTGGAAAAGCTCTGCCTGGGACCCAGATCGCCTTATTCTCTCACTTCAACCTGACTGCAACCAACATTTTGAAGGGTCGAAACTTATCTTGACAGGTTGATTCAATTGCTTCCAGGAAGGATCTCGACGTATATTTGAGTGATACTTTTGATATCTTTTGATGATTTAAGATATTTTAAGTATCAAATCTTGTTTTTTTTTGGGCTACTGCTATAGATGTGGAGGGATATGTCAACTTAACATCACTAGCCACCTTTGTATTTGTTGGGGGGTTCCATGGGATGGGCAAAATAGCTACGCGAAAAAACACTTCCCCAAGATGTTGATGAATTTCATTATATCATGTATATAATATAATAATATATATATATATATGTATGTTGTTTTTAATTATGATTAATCAAATTGCATACTCTATATATATACGGCATAATTTCATATAGTTTGGTTGGATGGCGGTTTATCGATCTTTACTCTCTTCGATTTGATTTCGGACCATGACTAGGTCCAGCTCTTCAGGAGGTTCTGCGAAGGCGACTATCGGAGACTGGAAAACTGCAGCCACAAGAGATGTCCCTTCTTTGGGAAGACGGGATTTCTATGTGAAAAGCTATGAACTTGAAATGATAACTTGAAATGATCATTGCAAATCCTGACATATGATCATCAGTTGATTGTCATTTACATATTGGTTACGTTGGGTGTGAAGGATTGTGGGTACCCCAAATGTCCATTGAGTTGGGCGATTTCCATGGCTCCTTCGACGAACATGACGGTCATGTTCAAGCAGTAGGCATGTGACATGGCTATTAAAATCCAGCAAAAACACACACAACTTTATGTGGTTGGTGGTTTGGAACATTTTTTATTTTCCCCATATATTGGGAATAATATTCCCAACTGACTAATATTTTTCAGAGGGGTTAAAGCCACCAACCAGTTATGTATGTGTATACATGTACCAGTAAGTGACCTAGGATTCCCCCATTCCAATAGTTTTACCGAGCATTTTTTTTAGGGCCAACCATCGAAGACTGTCGATTCAAATCGAATTTGAACATGGCCAAGATGCCAAGATATTGCCCAAGAAAAAGGATATCTTGCATCATTCCCATATATAGTGTCAATATTGCCAACATATTACGTGTCATCATTCCCATATGTTCCCATATATATATTGTCAATATATAATATTCCCGTTTAATTTTATATATATATATTCCCATAAATTCCCATATATAATGTGTCACATATATATATGATATGTACATATATATATATATATGTATATATATATATATATGATATATATGATATATATATATATGATATGTAGATATGTATATATATATATTCCCATATATAAATAAGATATTGCCCACATATTCCCCTAAAATTTTCGAAAGGGTCGAAAACTGCAGGACCTGCCGGATTCCCCGGATGTCCCTTGGATCATCCTGACAGGTGCGGCCAAGATTCAGATGGGCTATTTTTTTTAAAAAAAAATAGGTATGGCCATATAGTATGGTGATATTCATATGTGTACTATAGTATATATGTATGTATAATGCATATATATGTTTATATAATAATAATAATACAGTAATAATAATGTGTTTTTCCATTTTTTTTTAAATACATACATAATAAGCATATATTTGCGAATCAAGAGATGGGATCTGGTAAGGTTTGGACTCCACTCCCATCATTCCCCTATTGCACCTATAGAGGGGCCATGAATCCAAACTACCTCCGGTAAACATACAAAAAGCTATTGAACATGGCCATTTATAGTTGATTATCCCATTGAAAATGGTGATTTTCCATAGCTATGTTAGTTTACCAGAGGGTACCAACCCACCACCAGGAAATCTTTGGTTGAATGGTACAGCTTTATGCTTTTTATGTGAGGCGGTACATGGCTGACAGTAGATTCAACAAAAAGCAATCGAGGTCAAGCACGCCATTTCACTTTGTTGACTCTTCAAGACAGGTCACAGCAAGTAGCCCCACACTTCTCACATGCACGCATAATACAGTACGCATAATATTTACATATATATATATACATGATATAATATAATATAATATCATATATTACAACATAATATAATATAATGAACTGTGATATAATATAATGTAATGTGATATGATATAATATAATAAAATCATAAAATAATACAATATAATACAATATAATATCATATAATATCATATAATATAATACAATGTAAAATAATATAATATAACACAATATAGCATAATTTATCATATATATACATAATATATATTTTATATATTTATAATATAATATGATTTAATATTATATATACATATATGAACATGTTTCACGCAACATGTTAACGCCACTGGCATGTGCCTGTCATGGACCCAGTCATGTCCCTGTCATGTCCAGATCTTCCTGGCCAGTTCGCCAGGAGTATGTCCCGACGCAGAGATTTGAGCAAGTTCAAGGCGCCGCCGGCACTGCGCTGCGCGGCATGGCCAGTGACCCGTTGTAAAAACGACTGGGGAGAGATCCACGAAGATACCAGTCGCAGATGATCCGAGTTACACTCTGGTAATGACTAACAGTTTGCTATTGAAAATGGCCATGTATAGTGAGTTTTCCCATTAATAGCATGGTGATTTTCCATAGTTATGTTAGTTTACCAGAGGGTACTTTCCGAAGATATTGCAAAGCAACTTGAAAACTTTTGAGGAAAGTTGGTTCGCATTGAACCGATTAAAGAACTCTCTGACATGATGTATGGTGAAATTTGCGTATCAAAACATAGACTACACCGGACTACACCCCCTGAACTTGACATGGAACTTGAAGAATAGATTTCCAAAGATGATCTTGCCACTGACAAAATATTATGCACTGGCATGGGATGAGAGCGAGATGCCCCTGAGGCTTAATTTTAGTTAATTTTCACATATTTTCACTCTTTGGATGAACGACATTGGGGACTTTCATAAGTCCCATGGTCAAATCACGGTCGATTTTCCCAAAATTTCAGGGATGCTCATCCTCAACTTGCAAGGCTTTGCTAAAGTTTACATTGGGAAATCCCGTTGAGGCTGGGATGACTGGACCAAGTCTAACCTGACTTGGCACATGAAGGGAGGAACCATCCAGCACCAGCTATGACTCCGGGTACCATCCGGGTACCAGGCGTTTGACCCACAACCATTGATGCGGTCTACCCATGTCTACCCCTGATGGATAAACACTTCCCCCCGAAAATCTTGCTTAGTAGGGGACTTACACATATTCTATGACTGGGACAATTTAGAGGTGTTTACGGTGTTTACTAGTGCCCAGAGGGGGAATTCAAGTGGCTTATTTTAACAATTTATAGATGATGTACCTATGATGGTGATTTTCCATCGCAATTTTCCATCGAAGTAAATCTTATGTCATCCCCATGTATCCCCATGATATGCACATTGTTTTAATCCCATGAAATCCCGCAAAAACCATCTGAAATACTCTGCATTTTTGTTGAGGGATTGACCTGGCAGGACATGGACTCCGGCCTCCTGCGAGCCGCGGGCTGGTGTTTAAACCAAGCTGAGCCCCTTGGGATATGAAGAGATGTGGGAAAAAACACTGGGGAAACCATGGGAAAAGGATCGATAACTGGTGGGGTTTTCTATATTCATGTAAATGTGAATGTATTTTCCGGAGGGTATTGAGTATTGGAAGGGAAATTCGGGACCACTTCATGGACTATTCGATGATCATTGATTCTTCTGAAATGATTGGGATGATCAGTGCCCCTAGAGACGCTTATTCAGCGGGCAAATGAAGGCTAAGGTGCTTTAGTATGCTTTCGTGACAACTGCAGTTTCTCCGGGAAACGGTGGATTTACCCCACAAATCGCGCATCCTCAAAAGCGCATCCGGACAAGTTGACCAAGGTAGTTGGGGATTGATATTTCATCAACAACGTGTTAAACGTATACCCTCTGGTAATTTAACATAGCTATGGAAAGATCCACCATTTTTAATGGGAAAATCCACTATAAATGGCCATTTTCAATAGCAAACTGTTAGTTTACCAGAGGGTAAACGGTATAGATTCCCTGGGCTTTTTTCTGACCCTCTTCCAACCCCTGGGAGCCTCAATTCAGAATGGCTGACGATGGCTGACCATGTCATAGATGACGCAAATAAAGATGCCAAAGTCTCCACAGCATGAATGTACATGAATATATATATATATACACAGAAATATTATATTATATTATAATATATTATATTATATTATGTTATACAAATATTATATCATATTATATTATATTATATTATATTACATTTTTGTCTATTTATATTATACACTCATATACACATATACAATCATATACACATATACATAATATATTTATGCATGTACATACAAATACATACACCATGTATGTACAACAAAGCCTATCAGATGGGCTTCCCACCTGTTGGCTGTCGAGGCTGGGTGTCCCAGAATTTCTTCATCAGTGGCTCAGCTGAATCCTGGTTGACCCCTGCAGAAGGATGACCAGTCATTATATATATATGGGTATGGGTCAATACCTATAGATACATTTTTAATGGGATGAACATCCATTTACCAGCTATGACTTGGGGTTCACTAGGTACCAGGGTTTTGACTCATAGCCATATATATACACGTTATGTTATGCATATACATACGCATGTATATATTTAATTATATAATTATACATACTGTATTATATACTGTAATTCTCAGCTAGGAATAGCAATTGCCTGTGCGGTGAAAGCCAATTGGCGACCTCCGGTTGGTTTTTAGGAACACGTGCAAGCGGACCAGCTGAAGTGGAATGGACACCAGGGAATTCCTGGTATAAGCAAATCAAAAACATCCAAATGACGATGAAAGAAACATAGGGAATTGAATTTGTCCAGGAAATTTCCCCAAGTCACATCCGTACTGGCCAAAACATCCAATGGGGGAGATATATTTGATCAGCAAAAAATGGAATATATAGAACACCACGCCAAAAACATGGATGCCAAAAACACGGGGATACAAACCCAGACGTTACTATTGTCGTTCATTCACGTTTATTGATTGTAGACCGTACGACTTTCCCATGACTTTTTAAAGACATATGATATGAGTGAACATCTCCAATCACCAACAAGACTGTGGTTGAACTTGGCAGTTTATGAACACTAGAATCACTATAGAATCACTAGACTCACTATAGAATCACTAGAATCACTATAGAATCATTCACTATAGAATCACTAGAACATGAAGATGGCTGCGACAAGTGAACCCAAGGGGATTCCGGAGGCAGCTCAGCTACGGCAACCGTGAAATTATAAACTGTGACATTAATTATATAACTATTATTAATATAACTATTAGTTTAATTAATATATAACTATTTAACTATTAGTTTAATTAATATAGTTTATATAACGATTATTAAACTCTAATTAAACTATATTAAACTATTGCCCATGAATATTGTCTATATTATTATTTATTATATTGCCCTTCCTTTTGGTCAAAGCCACTTATTTGTGATGCGTCCCTCAAGTTCTACGTGGTAAAGCGCATGCTCTTCGATTTGACCCATAGCATCCTGACCTTCTTGAAGCAGAGATCCCTAATTGGTGAAGCAAAAATGCGATACTGTATGAATATGTATCTAAGACTAAGATATCAATTGGTTGTATATAATTTAGTTGTATATCTAAGACTATCATAATGGTAATATATATATATATACAATATATATATATATATATATACGTAGAGATCAACTGTAATAAGAACTATAATAGGTTCCCTCATCACAAGTTCTTGAAATTTTGCGCGCCCTCGGCATGGCACAAATGCCTGGCCGACCACTTCACCACTTCGGTCGGTGTCCGACAGAGCGATCTGTGGATTGACGTCATAGCGACCCTCCGAGCAGCCATAGAAGATGGTGGGTTTAGTTTACTCCATAAAGTGGTATTTTACCACATAAACATGGTGTTGTATCCCATACTTGTAGGACTTAAACATACGAATTTAAAGCATTTTTTGGGCGGTATTTGAGGATCTAGGTGTGTATACCCGCGCAGGTTCAATGGGAAGTCCTTCGTGATCGCCGACAGTGGTTTCTCGACGACCCGCGTTCACAAAAACACAACGGAAAACGGTGGGAGATGTGGAGGTGTTTTTTGCTGTTTTGTTTGGTGAATTTTGGTGTCTTGGTTTCTAATTTGAAGTTTATGGGGATGATGATTCCCTAGCGATAACAAATTATTACAGCGGACAGTTGTTTTTTTTTTTCCGGCCCCTGAAGCATCACACCAAGAACTTTTTACGAAGTGTAAGCGCAACTTCGCCGTGAGAAGCATATTCCTGTCCCATAGGATCCATGGTGCTGGTATATATACTAACATGACTGGGGGATATTTATGGGATCCATGTTACCATATATAGCAGCACCATGGATCCGTCATGGGTGTTGGATGTCTCTGTCGTTTGTTGATTTCATGGATTCTCCACAACTTGGGGTGTCTCCAGATCTTGGATCCTGTGTAAACCACCAATCTGTGCCACACACCACAGATTTGTAGCCTATATCATAATATATATGATCATATGGTATATCATATTATAATATGGTATAATATGATGGTATATCCATTATGGTATAATATATCCATATGGTATAATATCATATTATATCATCATATACCAGCCCTTAGTGATATTTGGAGTCTCTGGAGCTGTTGATATACACTCATTCCCAGCTTGATGTGTTTTTCGTTAAGCCGTGTTAAGCCCCTGACCGGTGAGGTTATGTGATCAAAGACACCCATGGGGAGTGGCTGGAAGTGGGTCTGGGATCTCAGGGTCGGATCCTCTGCCACTTCGCTGAGGTTTTGAAAAAGTGCGGCGAAAGAATCCACCTAAGTCTTGTTTGGGTCAATGGGTACTCTCAAACCCCTTAGTCGCACCATCTCAGTTGTAAAGCCAGAATTAGTTGGGGAAGTCAGTGCGGCAAAGTCGATCCAAGACTTAGGTTCTATCTGGATCCGATCCAAGATTTCCATGTTGATTCCATTACATGCCGCAAAACTTGTTGAACAAACAACTAACAAAGATACATTGCTTTCAAGTATATTGGCTATCCTCATCCTTACAAAAAAATCATGATGAACCCCCAATAACCACGTTTTTTTAAAAATTGCCTCCACCCAACGCCCTGCCATGCTGCAGAGGCTTCGACGTGCGCAAGTTTCCCTTTTTATTTGTTGATGCTCGACTGGCACCTGCGGGGACGGATGGTGTCCGGCGATTCGGTTCACATCCCCTGAATTCTTCGTTGACCCATGGATGACTTGTTGCTGCAATTTGGGGGAAAAAAAACTGTTTGTTTCTTCGGTTGTGAATTGTGTAACTGCCAAGGTCAGCATCACGACTTGGATGAACTTCAACAAGTCAAGTGGCTTCCAATGGGAGCCAAGCGCATGCCAAATAATCATCTAATGGATCGTTTCCTTGTCAGAAGGATGCACCTTGACTTCGGCCCAGCAGACAACGCCAAGAGAGCCCTTGAGAGATTCTGTGTTTTGTCGTGTCTTAATTCATAATGTTAATCTAGACTCATGATGATCGACCAGTAGACCAAAAAAGCGTTTGACCCTACCAGCTGGTGCTACTTTCCATGCCCCGAGTTTCTTTCGCCAAAGGAAGTGCTGTACAACTTTCGTGACTTCATTCCAAAGGCGGGGTTGGCGCATGGCCGACCTGGCCAAGGTCTGAAAATTCATGGAGGTTTGGATTGGAAAAAGCATGGAACTAGATTGTGGATGTTCCATTGCCGTGTTTGATTGCCGGAATGGTAAATGAATATCAGAAAATATCATAATAAGGTATATATATATACACATTATATATATATACACCCTATGGATCCAAACACTGTCTAAGAAGGTACGGCTAACCCCCCAAATCATACCCCAGTCCCACTTCCTAAGAAGGTATTTGGATCCATAGGGATATATAAATACATTCAATATATGCTGCCATCGACCTATATAAAAGATGCTTCTTTTCCATTGCTGCGGCTGGCTGCTGCTGTTGTCGTTGTGTATCATGTGGAGATTTCCTAAGTCATGGGGGTAGTACATGCACCTCCAATTCATCCAAGTCATTAGACCATAACTTACAGGTAGTATTGAAACCCGTGGTGACTTTGGGATCCTACATTTTAAGAAAGCCCCATGTGTTTAATTTATGTACGTGTATTTGTTCGTGCTTTAGTGGTTTCCAGTATGTGTTTTTTTTGTTGTGGAGCTGTCAACATGATGCCAAAAGATGTCCAAGGGATTCTTCGTGTAATGCGGACCACTTTGAGGGAGTGGGGGCATGCATGCATGTTCTTTCTGTTTTGTAATCATCATTTATATATATATGGGTAAATTATAACGACCTCACTGCGACCTCACTGGAATCATGGATAATAAGGGAAATCATCCCCAAATGGCCTTAATTCAGGTTGAGCAGAACAGGCCGCTTCTTGCGCATGCTGGGAAGTGGTCTGCAAACAATGTGGCCTTAATTCAGGTTAGTGAAATATTTTAATTTACCCAGATATATGTATATACATACAAGCTTGTGGGCTGCTAGTTCACATTGAACAGCGGCTTCCAGCGGCTTCCAGGCGAAGTGTCACTATGGTTTTACTGTGCAGGCGTTGCCACCGGGAACGCTGATGGACCGTTGCATTTTTTTCCACCAATAGTAGTTAATGTCAATAGATTCTGAAATGTGTGTTGTGGGGTATGCACATATTTAGTAATAAATTGTAATCATACTATATTATAATACGGAAAACAGTACTGTAACTGCGAAATAGTCACTGTGTGTGTGTGCGTGGTGTGTGTGTGTGCGCATGAAGGGTTGATTTGTGTGATTGCATATACCCTCTGGTAAACATACAGAAAACTATGGAAAGATCCACCATGTTATAGCTGGGTAAATCAACTATTTCGATTTGGCCATGGCTTCAATAGCTTTCAGTAGCAAATTACCAGAGGCTAATCACTATTAATAGCCATTAATCACCATTAGTAACCACCATTAATTAGCCATCAATAGCCATTAATTTACGTTTTTAGCCATCAGTAACCACCATTAATCACCATTCATGGTGAGCGTTTCTCGAAACTCAAAACCTAAAACGGCGCCATTGAGCTGGGCCACCCTGCTGATGTGAGCAGTTTTTAAAGGGCCACTGCTGGTCAATGATTATGGGGGGTTATACTACTCGTAGCATAATTACTGTATATATATATATATAATATATATATACATATGCATATATATATATATAATTACTGTATATATATAATTATATATATAATATATATTTATATATATAATATAATTATATATATAAATATATATATATATATATATTATGAGGAATTATCACAATCCATATACCAGCAATCCCTATCAACCAGTATCAGTAGAATGGATTGACATTTCGGGTAATCCATGGTAATCCAAATACAAAGGGATATTGTTGATGTATATGCCATTCAAACACCTCCCTTAAAGAATGGTTGTGTTGAACATTGCACACGTCGCTGGTTGACGTTTCTTGACCTGGAGGCAGTCGAGGACGAAGACATGCCTGAGGGGATCATTTGTGCCTCGGCCCCTATGGAGAGTGTTGCTGGGTCCCGAATTTTCAGAGGTAAACTAATCAAAAAAAAACTAATCATGAGATGGAAATTTGGAACAATCCTAGAAAATGATCAACGGATATCAATGGCGGATGTTCCATATTTCAATTTACTGGGAGCCGGGAAGGGGGGCCAAAAGTTACGAATTGTTCACAGGGTTGGCCAGCTGCATGAACCTTTCATGGGTGGTGCTGAGTTGATTTCTTCGTTGAAAAATGCCCTGGCGAGTGAGAAAATTGCTGGGTTTGGATAAAAAAGGCTGAATTTCTGAGCTGTTGTTTTCCAGATGCTCCATGTATGTTGTTTTCATCAATATCAATTGATATGTTTGATACTGAACGGAACATGTCAACTACCATCAACTACCTACAACCCTTTTACATAGTGTTCTGCATGGTTTAAGCTAAGACAGCTGCCAACCTTCGACTCTGAGGTGATGTATACATGTCGGGCATTAACATTCTGGATGACCCCATTGAAATTGACGTTTAGTCGATGACTCACCGTGTCGCCAACGCGCCCACTTGGCATCGTTGGTTAACAACGGCCGCCCGGGAAAATTGCCACGGGGCGGAGGCTGCTTGGAATTGTCGGAAGTCATTGAAATGACTAGTGAGAAGAAGAAAGACATTGTATCCCATGACGGATCCATGGTGCTGCTATATATGGTAACATGGATCCCATCAATATACCCCAGTCATGTTAGCATATATACCAGCACCATGGATCCGTCATGGGTATAGTGACAAAGCCAGATAGTGACAATGGGTCGGAAGATGTCACAGTGTCTCGCACTGGCCAACATTTATGAAGTATACCGTAGTGGGACCGCGGGTGGACCGATTATTCACTTCTCGATTCATGCACAGAGTTTCGTTCAATCTTTGAACCCCAAGTTTCACCAATTGATTCTGTTTTCTTTGTCTTTTTGATGATCATTGAAGCGTTCTACCTGCAGAAATAGAGATTATCAACGATGGTTCAACAGAAGTGGTACGAGAAATCAATGCGTTTAATGCTTGCCCAAGACTGGATTGAACATTGATTGAACCATGAAAAACGGAGAAATTTCACCATTGGTTTTTTGTCGATTTCACCTGGATTGCACCATGAAAAACCCACCGGAAGGCGGGCCGCACCGGACGGTTACCACACCCCTACGGAAAGGCTGTGCTCGTGGCCCACGGCCTTTTGCCTCAATGGATTGGTTGGGTTGGGGCACCATGGCCACGAGAATCCATAACGTATACATTACATTATAATACAAATACAAATACAAATACAAAACAATACAATACAATACAAATACAAATACAATACAATACAATACAATACATACATCGTACATACACATATATATATATAATGTCAACCCCGGATTAATAAACCATAGTTTATTAATTAGGGGGGTACTCCTCCAATAGTCATAATCCAATACTTAAATGGTACCCCCCCAATTAAACGGCCTAAGGGTTTATTAATCCAGGGTTGCCATTATATAGTATTATATTATAACGTACATTATGGTAGATTATTTAATCTGTTCTACATGACATGTCAGGGATTCCCCAGTTTCCAGGGGCTTCCTGTAGATGTTCCCTTCAACCTTCAAGCTCAAGGCGTTGCATGTGCGGTTCCAAACGAAATCGCTAAGTTGGTGAAGATAACTCCAACATCACTACTATTCGTGGGGTGAATCTGAACCAAGTTAGCTATTGTTTAGGGCCCCGCATTGTTGGAGACACCAATCGAATTGTAGTTGAATGGATTTCCATTGGGGGCATCTTTTCAAGATGGAGCAAAAATCCTTTGCCAGGTGAAATTGTCAGGCCTTTCTCAATATGATATGGGGCAAGCTTTCCTTTGGCCATTATTTTCTATTGGATTGGTTCAAGGGAACATCACAGGACACCTCCATTTTTGATGGGAAAAACCGGCCTGGTTTCCGGTTAAGATTTTCCCTCACAACAATGAATTGAGTAGTCAAGCGCAATTTCTGGGGTGTGTCCTGTGGGTCATCCCAACATGAACCTGATTCCAAGTTTAAAATATATAGCAAGCCCAACATAGATACAAAGAAAGTACATAAAAGTACCTATGTCATGTAATATTAGATATTAGATATGTAATATATCTACGTATCTTTAGATATCTAAAATTGTAATACATATCGGTCCTATTTCTTTTGGGGGGGGTACTATATTGCCATCCCGATACTGCAGGTAACATTGGGTCGATGTTTCGACCTCGACCTAGGTCGAGAAATCGCCAAAGTCACCCATGGCTTCATGAAAGAGATTGGCATTTCCAAGTACAAATCCTTGGTTTGGGCCTTAATTCCAGGTGGTTCAAATGAAAAATCTGCAGGGTATACCCATGTAATCCCATGTATACCCCCAATATTCGAGTTTAGAACAATTTCGTTCATTATTTCACTTAGAGATTTTTAGCGCGCCTTCACCGACAGTGACACCGGGATGGCTTGAAACCACCAAAAAATCCATAGGAATCAACTGGTTTCCATTGCATATGCCGCTGAGGGATGGGGCAGCCCGAATCTGCCCGGATCTCGGTCCATTTCCATCGCAAACGATTCGGCCGGCGACAGATGTTGATGACGATGCTGTTGATGATGTTGATGATGTTGGTAGGTGATGAGGATGAGGATGAGGATGATGATGACGATTATTATTATGATTATTATCATTACTATTGTCATTATGATTATAACTGTGATTAACATTGATTATCATTGATTAACTTTGACACATTATAAGTATTATATCAAACAAATCATCATCATCATCATCATCATCATTTCTGGGATTATATATATATATCATCAAGTTTCACCGCCATCATAGAACATGTGAACAAAAAACCAACGCTGCTGATGATCAGCCACGCGGCCAAGGGAGGACGTGGCTCGCCTCGCGGATCCGAGCCGCAGGATCCGGAAAACACCGAACCGGGCCGTTGGTTTTAAAAGATCACTTGGGATATATATAACATATACCCATATAACCCACTAATAACCCACTTGGGATGGAATCGTATAAAACACATATAATATCATATAACCATATATAAGCCACTTGGGATGGAATAGATTGGAATCGTATAAAACACATAGCCATGACGGATCCATGGTGCTGCTATATATGGTGACATGGACCCCATCAATATACCCCAGTCATGTTAGCATATATATATATCATACATGGATCCTACGGGATATAATATTGTGATGATATATTGGAATATGTTCACTTGGGATGGATCTTTCACATTTTACTATAAGATATATTGTTCCATCCAGGTTTGTAAGATATCGGGGATGGAACAAAACACGAAAATCATCGAAAATCACTTGTACTTGGACTTCACCATTTGCAGTGCAAAATAACAGCTACTCCTTGGGCTGGAGATTTTAAATCTGTCGCTGGAGCTTGCCACAGAAACACTCTGGACCCATGGAACTTTAAAATGCATCCCATTTCTCGGTCAATATGTGTCTTGCTGTTGTGGATTGTTTGTGATTGTTTTTTTTTGAAGACCAGCCTTGCCTACTTTTTTGTCATTGAAAGTATGAGGTTTGCTGAAACAGCACGTTTCATTGCATTGCCATCTCAAACTAAAGTGGCAGTATGTCAAGAAATGACAATGAACTATGGTTTTCGGACAAGGGTAAGGTTGGCTCTGCTCGAAATTGTGAATACTCCTCGCTGGTTTTCTTGAGGCATGCAGGTTCAGTCGTACGCTTGATCAATCCGGGTAGACTGTTTGAAACGGCAATTTAATGAGTCTCCTCTTTCCAATATCCCGTTTCAATTGCAAAGTGAAACCTTGCAGGTGCTTTGCCCAAGCAAGAAGTAAATTGTGTTTGATCTATTTACTGATTAACGTTGGTTATAGACGAATAGATCATATGCTGGCAAGAGACCCCTTTTTCAATCACATCCATCAAGGTCGTTGCTTTCAGCCTAATACATCATAACATCAAATTTGGATTCATTCAAAGTGATGTCATGCAAATTTCATTATATAGGAATGGTTTTGAGATGTTTTAACATGGTTTAACGATTTATTGCAGTCCTATACCCAGTCCATGGTGCAGTCGACTGTCAGGACATCGCATAGCTGGGTCGATGACCTCCAAAGTGATGAGGTAGTTCCCCTGGCCCCGGGAACTTGTGACATGGGGAACTGCGAAATTTTCGCCGCATCCTCATGGGTAAATTGTAACGACCTCACTGCGATCGAAGCCGCTTGAATGATGGTTAGGATTCGGGGAACTATCCCAACATAGCCTTATTTCAGGTTAGCAAATTATTATAATTTACCCAGATCCTTTGTTGGGCTAGTCATAGGTTTTTTCGGGGATCTACACAGTTGAATGATTCGAATGTATAGAGAAGATGGTACGCACCATCTCGGCCGGAACATGACTTTCTCAACTAGGAGATGGGTGTTTTCTGGCGTTGAAGCATGCAATTTTGGGTCCACTCTGGATCCAGTTTTGGAAATCTTGCAGGGATCATGCCGTCTCCAACGAAAACAGCTTTGGTTTAGGTCGAGTCCTCGTGAATTCAAAGCTTAGGTTTGGTTGAGCGTGTATAGTTCTCTACCATCATCATCAATCATCTGCATCCCTTAAAGAAATGGTCGTCCATGATGCATTGCAGGGGTAAATGACTGTTCTGCTTTGGGGAGCCCTGATGATGAGCAGATTTGGATGGCAACTTGCCTATGGTCCACGCCACAAAGGTGCAGTGGTGTGTGGTACAGCTACATTTTATGTGAGCATTAGTTCGGACATGACATCGTTATTGAAATGTTTGTTGCAATAAATGACATTTGCATTATATTGTATAAATTATAAACATGCAGTACCTATTTAATATTATATGTATCTACATGTATTTATTTACAGCATATATGTTTCCAATACTGTCCGATATTCTTGGACCAATGATGCACATGTTTCCAGATTTTCTTCATGTTTCTCACTTCCCATCTGGCTGAAATTGCTGACGATTGCTGATGACATCCAGATGTTTGTCGACAAAAAAGCAGAAGCATTGTTTATCATCCTTGTTTATTATGGTTTCTCTTTTGTTTAAACAAAGAATGACTTACTGTTCATTGATTATTATTTACAGCAATTCATGTCAATCCCTTATGGTGGAGTGATTTATTGTGATTAATTTTCAGATATCTTGTGGGATATGGTGATTTAGTGGTGATTTCATGGGATTTAATGGGATCTAAGCCGCATCCGTCTCCATTTTCAGGTGAAATCGCGGAAACGTCAGGAGGTGCGCCTTTTTTGGAACGTCCGTCGGGAGTAACAACAACATGGAGGTATCCCAAAATGGATGGTGTATACTGGAAAAACAAACAAACAAACATGGATGATTTGGGGGTAGCTCTATTTTTGGAAACCTCTATATATAGTATATGTTAATATAACATATACATAAATGCGATCATATTCTGTAGAAACTCGAGAATATGTGATCGCTTTAACAGTGATTACAATGTCATATATGGGGGGTTTTCCTAAGTCATGGGGTTTCCCCGTGCATCGTCCAAGTCATTAGACCATGACTTAGTATTGAACCGCATGGGAGCTTGGGAATCTCCATTTCAAGAAACCATTAAATATATAATTATATATATAGACATAACAATATATATATATAATTATGTATATTTAAATCGTTTTGACTTTGGTTGTAATCATTATTATAATCAGGTTATATTACTATCAGGTACTGTGGTTATGATAATGAGAATGTTAATAGTATGTGTATGATGATTATCATATAATGTTAACCACTATTATCATTATAACCACTATTATCATTATATGGTGCTACTATCAATTATCATTATAATGTGTTATGATGATGATTATATGTGTAGAGCACCCCCCCAGAAAGATAGAACAGTGTGTTTCCAGGATGTGAAAACAATGATGTGTTCCCTATGATTTTACAGAAAACCCATGTCTTCTCTTTTATATATATATATATACATACACAAAGCTTTGATTCTAGTCGTAATTACTATGATTACTATGACTGCACAATTACAAATATTCTCATTATCATCAGAAGAATAATGATAGTAATGATGATCATCAGAATTCCCTATTTTTGGAACGATTCAAACACCACCGGGAAGGAAAACTCCACTGTTCGGATGCACTTTGTGGTTTCCTGCGTTGCCATAGTAATTTCAATGTTGAAAGGGACATAATGATCCATTAATTTTGGGCGTTCCCTATTTTCAGTAAGAACCATATTCCCATGTTGTTGGTGTGGTGACAGTAATTTCCTGATGTTTCATGGTTCAAAGTTGGTGCCAAAATGACCGCGGTTTACTACCAACAATTGAAAGAAAACATGGCCATGATGGTGTTTCTCCTCGGTCTCAACGGCAAAAGCATCCCCTATCCATCCCTATCCTAAGGCCCAAGTTTCTGCACATGGCCTCAACCAAAATCCTTTCAAAGTCCCTAGGATTATGTATATATATATACACCCTCTGGTAATTTAACATAGCTATTGAAAATACCACATTTATAGTTGATTTACCCATTAAAGATGGTGATTTTCCATAGCTATGTTAGTTTACCAGAGGGTATATATATGTTGATTGAGCTATCGGTTGTGGGCCATGGATTCCACATGTTGCAGCAACATATCTCTCAGGCAGGCCAGCGCCTCGACGCGGCGCTGGGGGCCCCCGTGCGGCGCTTGAGGTGGGATTTATGGATCTTCATCCCCTTAACAAATGGTATTTTATAGGTATTGATCCATAGCCACATATGTATATATATATATATACATATATATATACATGTATACATATATATATATTGCTGTATTCTTGTTATCAATATTCTATTCATCTTGTATATATATATATATTGTTTAATGTGTTTTTAATTTAACGAGTTTTATTTCTACTATTGCATATATGTATACATATATATACAGACAAATACTTATTATGCATTCAGTATTTATTTATGGCAGGGACAACTTTTTGATGGGTCTATTTCGTTAAAAACAAAAACGGTGTTTCACCGATGGGGACTTGACAATAATGATTTGTGGGGTACCCACGGGTACTTTAACTCAAGATTCCAAAACTAAAGATTAGTACATTGACCGATACAGCATTTGAGTTAATAGTTGAATAGTATGTTGATTTGTGTTGCCATACATGAGGTAAGACGATTGACAATTGAAACCCAGCATCTTTTGTTACATTGGCACACTTTGTAACAGGGGCTAACAGATCTGGGTCTTCCCTAGGACTCCTGGACCCACAATCAGACAGGCGTTGGTTTGATATCAACCAACCATGCGAAAAAAAATGATCAATCCTGCAGACATGTAGAGGATCAACCAACCATTCTCAATTTTGACCATTAATGCTAGAAAGAGGGTCAGATGTAGCCAGCAAACAGTAGAACTTGACAACCACATGTGACTTAATCAGAAGAAGCACCTGGAGGTTTTTTGGTTAGCTAAAATGGGGTTTCAAAGAGACATATCGGGAAAAAAAACATATGGGATGAATATCATGATGATGATGATGATGACGACGACGACGACGACGATGATGATGATAGTCGATGGTCGATGGTCGATGGTCGATGAACAACTCGTCCAACTTCTGGAACTTGCGACGCAGGAAACGGCAAGAGACTCCCGTGGCGACTCCTCCGGGTTGATCGGTGAAAAAGGGTGCTGGTGTGGATGGCACCTGTGGACACATCATCGTTTTTAGCAGGCTGTTCCATTATCAACCATCCATTGGGGGGCCCATTTATGGAAAGACCCATGTTTGAAGTTTGGGTACCTTACCTATTTGATCTGCTTGTATTTTGCCTGATGAGTTGAAGGATACCTCCCCCATTTATGACGAGTGGCTTCAGAGATCATAGCTGTGTAGTCAATCATTATCTGTTGCCATCCATTTCAAAGGCTGCACATTTGTATATTTGAATGTCCATCCACTGTTTGTTATCTCCATGAGGATCAGCAAAAATGTGCGTATATAGCACCTGTTTTTGTTTGATTAACACATAGTTTGCCAGATAAAGGTAGATAGATAGGTAGATAGACGTTATACATATGTATACATCAAACATATACTCAGGTTTTGTGCGCATTGTATACCCTCATTTTGCACACGTCGAAAGTAACTGAACACAATCTGCACGCCAACTGATCTGACTTTCATGTCCGTAGGTCTTGGGTAGGTGTGCCTCAAACAGTAGCTGGACTTATCTGGACAACCTAGCAATACAATGCATTAATGCATTACAGTGTAGGGGGTGCCGAAATGACCGAACGGTAAATTGACGTCTTGATCAACAAAAATGTTTTTGCATTTATTATCTATTTATTTAATTTCATTCTACACGCAAATTTGTGTCCCCAGAGTATGGCAGGTACTGTGTGGTTGCTGGTTGTTTTTTTCTCGATTCGAACAAGGTATGTATGCTGCTTTGCACACGAGCAGGCTTTGTAATCAGCCTAGGCTTTGTTGTGGCAGACCTGTGTCGGGGAGCCCCTTAAAGAGGTGGCAGGGCCCAGACGTTGTTTCCGAAGAACTCATGCCCTGGGGCACGTTGGCTCCAGCACGACCACGGTCCCACGCTCCACGGTTTCCGGGGCGGAACCAGGCCGGGTGACGGCTCCCCCAGAGGATTGATGTTTTGGGCTAACCAAATCACCAACGAACACTAACAAGTAGGGCGAAGTTCAACCACATATATAATATAATATATTATATAGATTTATATAATATAATATAATAAAATATAACGTAACATAATACAATAATATACATACATATAATCTAATAATATATAATATATAACATAATATAATATATAATGTACAATATATAATATATAATTTAATATAATATGATAAAATATGATATAACATAATATAATAAAATATAATATAATAGTATATATTAATATTATATAATATTAATTAATATATAATTAATATATAAAATAATAAAATATGATATAATATAATTTAATATAATATTTAACATAATATATAATATACTATATAATTCAATATAATATATACTATTCAAGAAAATATATAATATAATATATAATATAATATATAATATAATATATAATATAATATATAATATAATATATAACATAATCATAATATATAATATAATATATAACATAATATATAATATATAATATATATTATATTATATATAATATATCATGTTTAATATATAATATAATATAATATAATATATGTAATATAATATAATATAATATAATATAATATAATAATATATATATGATATAATATATAATACAAAATATAATATAATATATAATTATATACAATATAATATATCAAATAATATATAGTATAACATAATATATAATATAATATATATAATATAATATATATAATATATATATATATATTATATATAATATAATATAATATAATATATAATATATAATATATAATATATAATATTTGATATATGATACATAATATATATTAAATATAAAAATAAAATATACTATGATATAATATAATATATTAGAATATGACACAATAGAATAACAAGTAATATGTAATAAATAATATATAATAAATAATATATAATTTATAATATGATATATTTAATAAATAAATTTAATATTTAATATATACTTAATGATATATAATATATTGTCATGTTATATATTATATATAACATATTATATAATATATAATATATAATTTACAAAATATAATATATAGTATACAATATATAATATATAATATTTAATATAATATATATAATATATGTAATATTTAGTATACAATATATAATGTTTAATTGTTAATATATGATATTTATTTTTTAATATATTATATATAATATATTATTTATAATATAATATAATTTAATATAATATAATATAATGTAATATAATATAATAGTTATATATATATATATTTATATTTATATATATATATACATATTATGTCTTGGAGTCTCCAAATTGGGGGCCGGGCGTTGGTTGAATTCCCATGAGAGATGGTAGTTGATGGTTCGATGGCCTTTGGATGGAGGAATTTGCTTCATAGCACGAAGCAGACTGACGTGCTTAGTGAAGTTCTTACGTTATCTTGCCAGGATTAGGAAAATACAAATGGATTGTAGAATAACCACTGGTTCCTAACTTCTTAAGTTATCTGTTCCAATATGTTCCAATGATGCAACCAACACACCAGTTTTTCACTGGTATTTGAATCAAGACTCCTATGACTCCTATGACTCGTTCAAGCAATGCATGTGAAGAACAAGTCTAATACGGATCCTGCTGATTTCCCAAACATGTTGGTGGTACGTCCCTTACCCACAGATTCCGCGACCTCCGCCATCGGTTGCACCCATTTGGCTGGAATCAAATGAGTGCTATTAGCAATTATTAGCATGGTTGTTTATCCTAGCGCCGCCACTGAAACTGGTCCTTCTATATATGGGTATGGATCAATACCTATTAATACCATTTTTAGTGGGATGAACATCCATTTACCAGCTATTTTGATGTTCACCAGGGGTACAAGGTTTTGACACACTGCCATATAATGGATGATAATGGTACTCATAGTACCTCTCCACAATTGCACAAAGCTGGACCAAACTCTGCGGTTCCCTGGGTCTCAAATTGCGACTCATATCCACATTTACATCACATTCCCACGATTGTTTGATGTTGAGATGAACATTACCTTAATTTCATTCCCATCAAAATTTGGTCTTGGGTCACAACCTGTCATTCCGCATATATGAAAGGGGTGCAATATGGTGTAATACAATTACATACCTGTGTAGAACTAACAAATATAAAGGTGTTGATGTGAAAACCAAGGCTCCACTACCCATGGCATCCATAGCCATAGCTCAATAAAATGATTGGGCGGCACCCAAATAGCCGTGCATCCCTTCAAAGATGGTGAAATAGGTCTTGAATGGTATTGACTAATCCCCATATCCCCTTTCTCAAGTAGCTAGAGGCTATAGGCTATGGCTATTAATACCCATATGACATATGACACACAACACACACACATATATATATAAATAATTATAAATAAATAATATATCATACACATATATATATATAATATTATATTGTCAGTATATCGAATCTTATCCATCAACATAGCCCATCAGATTCAATCACTTTAGGCCATCAAGACGACATTCTCTCAGCTATTGACCAATTTTTGGCCATTCCCAGGCTCCCATCTATGTCCAATTCGCCAGACAGAGGCGGCTGCGGTGGAGTAAGCTGGGAAAACCAACAGCTATGACGGTACCCTCTGGTAACCATGGAACATGCCTATGGACATCAGTCATGTTCCATGGCGTTGATAGTTCACATCGCAAATTGTTGCTGCGAAATCAAGTCATCCCACCCACTGAGTGCAGAAACCTGGCCGAATCCACGTTGTTCGTTAAAGCTACACTGGCTACAGGTTAGACCAGATCTTTTTTACCACAGTTTCAGTACCAGAAGGTATGTTCATATATGTTCAATCCATCATCAATCCATCACTCCCGGCTGAGGCATAGAGCGGATCCCTCGCCAGATGCCACTTGCACTGCTGGGAGTGGTGTTTGGGAACTCGAACCTGTATCAATAATCATCAATCATATATCTATCTATCTATTTGTCAATCTAACTCTGTGCCAATCGATCAATCAGTCGATCAATCAATCAACCAACAATTTATCTATTCATTGATTTACTTATATATATATGTGTACATACATATATATATATATATATTTACATAGCTATATGGTCAAAATTGTACCTATCCTATCAAGCACTATCGCCGACTTTTTTGGGCATATGCATCCCACGGATCGGATCCGTGGTTTATAATCCATTTACAACACATATTTCATCCCATATAGAAGTGGGGATATTCCATATTATATATATAAACCCGGGGGTATAAGCTATTTGCTAAGTGGGGCCCGCAACCCCAAGTCCACCCATGACACCCGTTCTCGGCGCTTGAGGACAAGTCAACCTCCATTGAGTTCGGGGATTAGCTAGATGTTTGATTACCAGAGGCTAGTAGCTTGTTTGTTTGGGATGCTCGCCAGAGCACCAGGGTTTGGACCCGTAGGCAAGTGATGCAACTGTGTTTCCTTCACTTTTTTGAAATCCACTTCGATCTTTGTACAAGGTTTGTTCTCCCTTCCAGTTGCAAGTTGGTTGATAAACCTCATTTACCCTCTGGTAAACTAACATAACTCTGGAAAATCACCATTTTAAATGGGTAAATCAACTTCAAAAATGGGCCATGGCTTCAATAGCGAAATGTAACAGTCATTACCAGAGGGTACATCCATTAGTTTGTCATTGCCAGAAAGCCCAAGTTGTTGGAGTTACAAAGCCACCAACTTGGCAAGTGCCGGGTGCCGCGTCCTCAGGCGTCCACAGAGTAGTCACAGTTTGCGATCAACATCAGGCGGGTCAAACTTGGCATACCTCAATCGTTCGGTGAACAAAAGAACACAAGGAATTCCCAAAAAGATGGAAAAAGATGGACAAGTAACCAGCAAAAAGATGGTAAAGTGGAACAAAAACACTGTTCGATTCTATCTTTTGCTGGTTCCTATATCAGATTGCCAAACAAACTGTTGGTGTGTGAGGGTCCGTGGGTTTCAGTCGATATGTTGCATATTCCTGAAAATCAGGCGCCCCCAAATCTCAAGGTTGATCATTAACTGCAGGTTGCTGGTCTTCATGTTTTTGTTTGCTTTTGATTCTTTCGTTGAAATCCCAATTAATGATACTGTATATAATATATAATTCACAGATGTTTCTTGCTCTTGACTTACCCATAGGATCCATGTATGCTATATATAGTATATATGGTAACATTTACCATCAATATACCCCAGTCATGTTAGCATATATACCAGCACCATGGATCCTATGGGTTATAATGCAGGTTATTCTCCCTCCACATCCCTTGCAGGCCCATTGGCGCGAAATGGATCTGGGCCAGTCTCGCGAAATGGATCTGGGCCGCTGGGGCCCTTGAGCCGCAGCAACAGTCTGTGCGGGCACCCGTTTGGACAGGGGACGTTGTCCGTGGAATTTCAACAGACACATGGCAACACTTGTTGCAACCCACTCAACCATGCCAGTTTGTAGAAAATGATTGCATGGTACCTTGCATGGTACCTTTGTTCAAGCACTTATTGATGGGATGACCGTGCCTAGATGAGAGAATCCCCCTTGTGAGAGAATCCCAAGGGACTGTACCAGCTTAGGCTACTCATACAAGTCTCAATGCCCGTCTGCAGAGAATCCTTCCACAAGACTTGAATCGACTTGGAAACTAATAAACCACGGTCACGGTCTTTCTAGTGTTCACTATCAAAGTCACCAAACATGTCATAGGGCACGTCGATTTGCCAATTTTGAGAGGCCAAAAAGGGGACAAATTGTGTATCCATATGGCCGATGAGACCTAGAGATGCCAGGTGTAGATACTATCACAGGCTAGTTCAGGAGGGCTAGGGTCAAATGGCGAGGATGACACTGGTCAATTTTAGTACTTCCCCCGGATACGATTGCCAAACTGTTTTGTATAGGAATCAATGTTTATCACAGTCAACACTATCCCAGAAACGAATTGTATAGATCATCTTCAGATGGTTATAGACATGTTATAGCATTTTCACACAATATTTTACAATTTTCTTGTTCAATCTAACCCAATCTGACTGAAAATGCACCATTGAATCACCATTTCTGGTTAAAACCCATGGTTTCTGATGGTTTTCCCAGGTTTTTTCTGGTTTTCCCATGGTTTCTGATGGTTTTCCCACGTTTTCCCATGGTTTCTGATGGTTTTCCCACGTTTTCCCATGGTTTCTGATGGTTTTCCCAGGTTTTTAAACGACTCAAACAATAAAAACCCGCCAGGCGAGCAGGTGGTACCCCTGCCTCACCACCATCGGAGTCCTTGATTCTCCCGCCAGGTGCGAGAGATTTTCCGTCGGAATTTCACCACTTGATGTGGATAGAAAACATGGCATTTTTTCTGGAGATACAACTTATGATGGACATATGATAGTTATTATCCTATACGGAACAACAAAAATGATGGACATATGATAGTTATTATGGAATTATATGGATCTATATGGATATGAGTTGATGATGATAGTCATTATAGCCATCTGAGGGGTTCTCAAGTCATGGATCCCACAGTAAAACCATGGTTGTTTCAGTACTGAGTCATGGTCATCCATGACTTGGATGATGCAAGGGGTACTCCGATGACGTTGGAAACCCCCATCTCAGTATAACATTTCTTTCCCTACTGTGGGTCCCAGGTTAATTCTGATAATCACAGATAACCCCGGTAGTCTAATTCCCTACAGTAATAAATCAACGGTTGTTTTTTTAATGTCTCAAATGGCGCCCCTTGAACAGGGGATTCACAGTATTTCACAGTTACTTTAACACCCTGAAGTTGCAAGTGTTCATTGGCAAAAATGATGAACATTGCCGATTTTTGGGGTACCCTATTTTCAGAGACACCAACATATTTGTGATGGTCAAGTTGCAACCACCAACCGGTAGAATGTCAGGGCCTGAAGTATCGATTCAAATATCCCCAACCGAAAAGGAAAAGATCGTTTGGGGGGTAATTATGGATAAATGATGATAGATGATAGTTCGAGTTGGTTAGTTGGTTTCTTAAGAGCAAACCCACAGAGAAATGAATTGCAAACAAAAAACGCGGTGAAAAGCTAAAGCTTTTCAGTTCAGGACTTGGCTACGGATGTGCATCTCTCACTTCTTGGTTGACAAATACCTCACGGCGACCCTAAGTCATAGCATGGCCTGAGTCCATCCAGGTCAACGGGAATGAGACCCTACATCTAAGAGCACTACAACAATTCGTAGCTACCAGAAAAAATGTGATAATATATGAGAATATCTAATATATCGATACATAATATGTGTATATATATATATTATAAATAGTATACCTACCTACCACAACTCCAAGGATCATACATACTGTATGTGCCATGGTCATCCATGGTCAATCCATAGGGAATCACCATGGCTGCCATGGGCCCATGATGGGTTGACCAGTCGCCACATACCAAACTATGGTGTTTAAATGCGTCTTATTCATTTTTGACACATCTTCATATGATTTGTTTAAATCATATGTTTATACATTATAAGTGATTTAAACAAATGATACCATTATTTTATAATATACCATTTCCATAATCATACCATTTATTTGATAATTTCTGCTAACTTGGCTCTCCCACATGTCGCGATTTGCTCATACCGGTGGATCCACAGTTCCTGCAGAGGATCACTCTCTGGGCTGAGTTCAATCAATTACGATGGTGATATGACATAGAGTATATATATACATACATAAAGATGATTTTGGACTATCTATGCGTCCCTCAATGTATCTCAACGTCATATCAGTATCTATATCTGACGACGTCACTGTTCTCCCTCACTGGAATCATGGTTAATGGTTGGGAAATCATCCCCAAATGGCCGAACTATTCAGGTTAGTGAAATATTATGGCCTTTACCCAGTATCTATATGCAATATCCCATTAAATCCCATTAAATGCCATTGAATCACCATTAAATCCCATTAAAACACCATTAATATATACATAAAAAGATCATAAAAGTCCTCAGTTTCATCCAACCGCGCGCAGGTGCCCTGGCGTCAGAGGGACCAGGCCACGACTTAGCTCTGGTCAGGAACACATGGATTTTTGTTTAGATCAATGAACACACTCAATTCTATACAATTATATATATATATATATATCAATTATATATATATATATATATACATGTTCTTAAATTGTGTATGTGCTTTGAGTTTTCTATATATTTTGCGTTTTTAAGTGAAACATCTTTGAAAGAAAGTATGAATGGGAAAATGAGAAGCGGACACTTCAAGTATAAATGGAACGTGCACCAATGAGACGGATGGTTGACAGTTGGTTCTAGGTGGATTTTCCATCGCTACACTAGAGTGCCAGCGGATATCTATGAGGAAACTTGATATCGATATTTATTGACGCCACATGTGGAAATAGATATTCATTGATTATTCAGATAAATATCATATGTAATTGATTTCCATATATACATATTCATGGTTACCATTATCTAGTATATTATATTGATAGGAACAAAAACATATCTAGGTTGATTTTCCATCGATGCCAATTGGTATTTCATTGATTTCACCAAAATAGTGATTTAGCCAGTCAAAGCTGGCGAAGCTAACGGGACAATGGGGCCGGTATGTTTGGCCATTGTGAGGGAGGAAATACATGGGAAAAGAAATTCCCCAGAATTCAAAATTGTCATTTCAAATTGGATTATAGTCATCCAAAATGTAATTTGGATCCTGGACAAGGAACATATGTAGTCTTCCAATGTCTTCCACATGTTTTCTATGTTTGCTGGTGGCTACATAGATCCATCACTTAAATTCAAAATTCGAACATTCAGCAAATTTGAGAGATGAAATATTCACATTATATTAACACATCATAGCCCAATGATGGTGGTTAAGATCCATTTTTTTCCCGGGGAAAAACCGGATTTGTTTCGCCGCCGGCTGCTTGAGCCACACAGGTCGAGCAGTGAACGCTGTGACACCAACGGCACAGGCACAAAAAGTATGTGGGAAGGGTAGTCGCTTAAAAGGTCCTTCAGCTTGGTAAATGACCATTTATTCAGTACTATGTCCTATGCTATGCATGTATATATATATATACATGTATGTATGTATATATATATAATGTAGATGTGTAGGATTATATGTATGGGTCTCCATCTTTCTCTCTCTCTCTCTATCTATATGCATTATATAGATACCTACACAGCTACAGATCTGTAGACTGGTCGTGATGCTTCCCCAAGTGACTGGTTTGTTCCATAAATCCCATGTGTGTTTGAAAATGGAGCCCCACACCCCCAAGTTATGGCCATGAAAGGATCGGGAAAGTGATAAAACAAAAACAACAGTGGATGGAATTTCCGGTTTTCCGCATTTTTTAAGGCAAAATCCATTTTTATCTTACTTGCAATATAACATTCCATTTCAAAATGTGTCAAATATCGAAAGTGATATGGTATAGCATCTGGTTATTTAACATAGCCATGGAAAATCACCATTTTTAATAGGTAAACCCAGGTAAACCATCTATATATGGGCCATTTCCCATGGCTATGTTAGTTTACCAGAGGGTATATGCATACATACAGTTTTTTTTCTTGGATTCCCCAAGGTGTTTAATTGAGTGGGTGTCCTGGCAGATAACATCCCATGTAGAGTATGTGCTGCCCATCCATGTTAATTACTTGCAATACAACATCCTATTTCAACAAACATGTGTATATATATATATATTATATGTATCATTTATTTACAGTATGTGGGCAAAATATATCGGATTTCTAGATATATATATTTATCCTACACATATATATATGTGGGTACCTGGTACCCGTATATAATATTTAACACATCACAATTCTTGAAAACACATTCAAAACCTCCAAAGCCTGAGTTTTGTCAAACTCCCAGCGGTTTCTCTCGCCAGTCCGGTCTGGGTCTGTCTCCCATGAACTCGGCCGTGTGCGGCGGCCAAGCTGCGGGAAGCAGGTGTTTCTGTATGTTTTTGTGGGCCCAAGTTATAACGATTGACATATTATTTCGGAAATATATGGGAGATATAATATACTAACTATACTATATATATATATTTAATGATATGATATGTAACTTATCATATTTGTTTTACTCTTACAATGAATTATACATGGGTATTATAATACTTAATGGCAACCAATTTACTAAAGTTAGTTTATGAACATATTACAACGGAGGCCTATTTTTTTTTGTTTTTTTTTTCTTTTACGTTTTTGGATTTTTTTTTGGGTTTCTTGTTTTATCTTGCTTTCTCCTTTTTTTTTGCGTTTTTGCTTTTTTGCTTTTTTTGCTTTTGTGCTTTTTTGCTTTGTTTTTTTTTGTTTTTTTTTTGCTTGCTTTTTTGCTTTTTTGCGTTTTTGCTTTTTTTTGCTTTTTTTGCTTTTTTGCTTTTTTGCTTTTTGTTTTTTGCTTGTTTGCTTTTTTGCTTGTTTGCTTTTTTGCTTGTTTGCTTTTGTGCTTTTTTGCTTTTTGCTTTTTTTGATTTTTTGCGTTTTTGCTTTTTTGCTTTTTTGCTTGTTTGCTTTTTGTTTTTTTGCTTTTTGTTATTTTTTGCCTTTTTTGCTTTTTTGCTTTTTGCTTGTTTGCTTTTGGCTTTTGGCTTGCTTTCCATGGCTTTTGGTGGTATTTTTAGTATGTCAAACTTGCACATTTTTCAATACACTAGTTTGAATCGACTATATTCATATATATATATATTTATGTTTCAATTAAAATCATAATATATATATATTTACATATATATGTATATATGTATATGTATATATACATATGTATATATATATATGCATTTATATACACACTTGTATATTTATATCTAGATATATTTATATTATTTATATTTTCTACTTATATATATATATTTTATATATATTTACATATTATTACTATTTATGTTCAAATTCAAATATATATATATATATTTACATATATATATATATTTACATATATATATTTACATATATATATATATATTTACATATATATACATATATATATATATTTACCTATATATATATATATATTTACATATATATTTATATATATATTTATATATATATACATATATATATGTAAATATATTTATATATTTATATTTATGCATGTATATATACACTTAAATATATATTATATTGATATATTTAGATTTACATATTCATATTGATATTTTTTATATTTATATTTATATATTTATTTTTATATATTTATATTTACATATAAATATATATTTATGTACCTATATATATATACATTCATATGTATATACATATAAATCATATAAATGTATATATATATAAAGAAGTATGTATCTATAAGTATATGCACTGTATTCCACATGTTTCCAGGGTGCATGTCGTGTAGTCTATACACCTTGAGTATCACATTCAACCCAGCACCTTGCATGTAAAATAGGTGTTTCCAATCTGCTTTGGCGGGGAGGCGCTGCGCCCTCCCCCCAATCCCCCCCCTCCCGCTTTTTTTAATTATTTAAATTCAAACTTGCACACTTTTCAATACACTTGTTTGATTCGACTATATTAATATTTTGTTAAAAATTATATATATATCTAGACATATATATATATATAGACACACGTATACATATATATATATGTATATGTATATGTATATGTATATATTTGCATTTATATATACACTTATATTTATATATATTAATGTACTTATATAAATGTATATATATACATACATATTAATATGTATATACATATCAATGTATATATATTTCTATAATTATATAACTATAAGTATATATATATATTATAAATACACATACATATTTACTTATAGATATACAGACGTATACATATATATATGACATATTTGTGGTTGTTTTTATACACAACTTTGATCCCAACATAAACAACAAATAATCATGTAATTATACGTAATTACATGTTGTATCCCTAAACCCTAAACCACACCCTGCATATACATACATACATGCATGCATGCATACATACCTACCTACCTACCTACGTACATACATACATACATACACACATACATATATATATATATATATAGATTGATTGATTGAAGAAAACCAAAGAAACCTTGCAGAAAACGATGGAAAATTGAAGAAAACCATGGAACAATTGAAGAACACTATGGAAAAATTGAAGAAAACCATGGAAAACTTGCAGAAAACCATTGGAAAACCATGGAAAAATTGAAGAAAACCCGGGAAAAATTGAAGAAAACCCGGGAAAAATTGAAGAAACCAATGGAACAATTGAAGAACACCATGGAAAACTTGCAGAAAACAATGGAACATTGAAGAAAACCATGGAAAAATTGAAGAGGCACGAACCCCAAAAAAAAATCCAAAACTGTAAAAAAAAAAAATACCAAAAACAATTCTGCACCCTATTACAACTGGCAACTAGCAAGTTTATAATGGTAGTTTAATAGGCAAACATCTAACTAACTAACTAACTGACAAACAAACAAACAAAACTAACTAACTAACTAACTAACTAACTAACACACACATATATATATATACATCCTAGTTTCAGACAAACCTTGGGTAATCGTATCCCACGTTCATATATAATACCTGCACTGCTTAGGACCGAAAGCAAGATCTCGTTTGGGGCGCATTTGATATTGAGAAGGTATTGTTTTTTTTTATCATATACTACACTTGTACACATGTTCATACAATCAGATCATCAATGTGCGGATTCAAATATGTTCCATGGCTAAAGAATTGAGGAAGGCCCCAAATCCCTAAAGATCTATCCGTTGGATATTTCGAGGGGAAAACTTTCCATTGGAACATATGTAGTTTTTCGAAGCGTAACCATGTTCATTTGGATAATTTTTGTAATTTCACTCATACCCAGAGTTCTCCAACTTGTGTCGGTTGTATCCCCAGTTTTTGATAGATGTTTAATAGTTTCTTGTGTTTTTTTGTGGCTTTCCGTCCTCATTGGTTGGTTTTTCATGCTACGAGTTCGTTGGTGTTCCGTCCCCATCGAACTGCTGGATCCCAACTCCGCAATTGGGACTTTGTGCTATTGTAAAATTGGCCCAGTCGAAATAGTGGTTTTTCCCATTGAAAATGGTGATTTTCCAGTTCGCTATGTGGCTGTTTACCAGAAGGTAACTTGAAAAATCTTGAAAACATGAATTCCAGATTTAGATGGTAAAATGATGGATAAAATCACGTCCACCTTTTCACCGAAAATTTCCCCAGATTTTCATAGGTCTCCCTGGGATCAGGATGGTGGCTTCCCTGCAAAACGGCTCAATGGCTTGGAGCGGTGAGGAAGCGACCCTGGGGAAATGGCGCCGTGATGTGCGCCGCCCGAGTGGGCCTGGGATGGTGCCGGGGTAGCTGGTGTCAACCTGGAGGAATGTTGAATGATCGGACGACAATCTTTGAACATGGTTAATAGTTGTTAATAGTGGTTAATAGTGGTTAATAGTGGTTAATAATGGTTAATAGTGGTTAATATAGTGGTTAATAGTGGTTAGTAGTGGTTAATAGTGGTTAGTAGTGGTTAATAATGATCATCAATAATTATTTAAGTTGTGATTAATGGAGATTTACCCTCTGGTAAACGTTTACATAACGAACTGGAAAGATCCACCATGCTATGAATGGGTCAATCCACTATTTCGACTGGGCCATTTTTAATAGCTATGTTTGTTTACCAGAGGGTACATCGTCCGATCCTGTTTTTTTTCCAGACCTGAGCACATTTACACACTAACCAGCAAACAGAAATCGACTTGTGAAGGATGGGCCATGCAAAGAATAAGAGATTCAGTAAATCAAGAAAGGGAAATGATAGAGCGGTTGCATATATATATATATATAATTATTTAAATTATTGTTATTATTATTAATATTATTAAATATTTTTGTTATACACCCTCTTTGGTCTTTGGTGTGACACCTCGTCTCGGGTAATCAAACATGGTCTCAGTCATCGCCAGTGACGAGCGGAGGCAAACAGGCCACAGAAGACTTGTGGTGGTCACTTTTTCCTGTCATCTAATGGGGTCAATAATTAACATATCACAAACTAGTGGCATATGATTGGATATAGAACCAACAATATGGGAATATATAATTGAATATAACGAAATCTAAAACATATATATATATATATATGTGGATATATATATATATGTATATATATATATATGTGGATATTATATATATATATATGATTTATATATATATATATATATTAATTATTTAATTATATATATACATATTTGAGCAGTGGCTGCAAGACATCCCTGTTGATGATGCGTTGGGGATTTTACTTGTCAATATTTTTCAATGAATATCGGGGATTCTTGTGGAGCGATGGACACCGAAATTGCATCAGAGGGACGAACATCATGAGATTTGAAAATTACCCTTCCCTAATTACAGATAGCATATATGAAAATGGTCCATTTACAGACGATTTACCTATTAGAAATAGTGATGTTCCATGGCTATGTGAATTACCAGAGGAAAAGACAAAGAATGAGACATCAGATATTTGACCCTGGTATCTAAATTTGAGGGACATAGACTTCTATTTGACCCTGCAAGCTTCACCGGTATCTAAATCCTGGTACTTCGTTGTCCCATGATCCTTGTGGGTAGTTCGTTGACCAAGGCCGTAGAACTGGTTCATGGTTTCAAGTAGTGCTCAAAACCCCTGTTGGTTGATGATGACTTGGGGAGTTCAAGGGCACTCTTGATCCTTGGTTAGATACTTTCCTACTTTCTTTGGCTATTAATGCAAAAAATGCAAAAATGTACTAACATGTACTACCCTCTGGTAAACGTTTACATAACTATGGAAAATCACCACTTTCATAGGTTTAAATCAAATAACATCAACATAAATCAACTATGTCAATGGTCCATTTTCATCCATTTTCCATAGCAAACTGTAACAATTACCAGAGGGTAACCAGCCATGACCATCATCCATGGGCTGAGGTCCAGGATCTGGCGCTTCTTTTTCAGGTGCGGGGAGCAAAGACAAAGGGGGCCGTTTTTTTTTTTCGGCTGAAACTGGCGCGCTTCATCAAATGGGGATCAAATGGCTAGATGAATATGGCGGGGGTTATGATCAATGATGACTTCTATATCCTTGTACATATGTATGTATATACATATCACCAACAACATGATGTATGGCAGAAGCATTTTGAATCGTTTCTCAGACTTAAGGTGTTTAAGTAAGTCGCCGAGGAAACATGGCACCAACTGGTGACAAACTTTCCAGAGCCAAGGTACCCTTCAAAATTACTGTTGCCATTAAGTTGGGTTTGTTTTCGAAGCCGTTCGTTTTATTTTGAATATGTTTTGTCCTTCATGTTGATAATTGCATGTTGCTGCTAACATTTGTTCTCATTGCAAATTTGGATACATTGTGTGCTGATCAATTGGGCAATGACATTTATTGGTTGAAAGGATTTTTGTACGATCATTCTGCATTCCGAGGAATGCCAAAATGGTAATGGAAGTACATGGGCTTTTATCTTTGCCACTATTATATACGTAAGTATATGTATATATATAATATATGCAATATACATATGTATGTCTATTCTCAACACATACATAATAGGTATGTACAAACATGCATGTGCATGCATAAACATGTGCATGGTACGTGATACATGAAACTTGATACATGGTACATGATACATGATAGATGATACATAATACACATACACATGTACACACACATACACATTTGACATTTGAATAACCATATAGACATACATAGAAAACATAGACATACATAGACATATACATTATACAGGCATATATATATACACGTAAACATATATACATATACATATACATATACATACATAATATATATATAAACATACATATATATATATACATATATTATATAAACATATATATATATATATACACATTATGCATGATCATGATATGTTCAGATGTGGGTTTAAACACAACAGCTGTGATGCCAGGAGACCCGTGCAGAGGAAGAGACCGTGAGGCTTGGGCGGTGGATCTTTGAGAACTTTGGATAGCACCAACGATATGTTTGGATATGTTGAGCATGGATATGAGTATGGATAGCACCAAGTCATATTGCTGCATGTGGTCATATACAGTAAATGCTACTTTCTCATTCACCACCTAATTACTGTAGTTGAGTTTGGAAATGGTTGCATTGGTTGGCTTGAATTCGACCTTCTATATGTTCTGTAGTCACTACATTCACGATCCGTTCGATGAAAACACGTTTATGTTTACCCACTGAGTCTAAGCAAATGAGGTATTCTTGAGGAATATATGGAGGTTGCCTAAAATAGGGATACCCTTATAAATCATCCATTTTACTAGGATTTTCCATTACAAACCATCATGGCTGTGGGTTTTCTGGTCAAATTGACAGCATGAGACTATAGGCCTGGCCGACGTTTTTGTGGAAGTGCAACGCTGTGACATGGGGGCTTCATCTCATAGTTTCTTCATGTGTCTTCATGTCTTAAGCAATGTGGGAGTTTCCACAGTGATATGAATAATATAAGATTATATATATATATAAGATTAATTACATATATATATATATATAGATGAGATTATATATCTGCTTGTGTATATAGATAAGAATATTATATATATATACATATGTATATTATAAATCATCCCAAGCATCGAGAAATAACCCCATTTTCATAAGCCACGAATGGACGATGGTTCTACGACCACCTGGACAGGCACATTGGAGAGCCGCTGTTTGCGTTTGGGCAGCCCAGTGTTGTCCAAGTGGCTTAGTGTTGAAACTCTGGTAATTTGTTACAGTTTGCTATTGAAAATGGCCATTGACATAGTTGATTTACCTATTAAAGTGGTGTTTTTTCACAGTTGTGTAAACGTTTACCAGAGGGTAAACCTTGGTAACGTGGTTATGACATAAGCGGACATGAAACTCATGAAATACCAACCAGGCAGGATTCCAGTGCGTGAAAAACATGGCACCCTCCAATCTAAAAAATCCCCTGGGCCCTGGACTCCCAAAATGAACAGGTGCAACACATTCCACCAGAACTTCTGGGGATCTATTCACGTTCCCAAAACATAGATAGTTACGGAAAGTGCTGATAACAATCATTTAGAATCCAGTTTCAATCAAGAAAACGATACACGTCTTTTTACTGTGGGTACAAGGTGGTGTCCCCTAGGTTGGTTTATGTACCCTATAGAAATATTCATCGGGAGAACGTGTTTGGTCGACCCAATGCTTTTGCTGATTAGAATGCGCTCAGTGCATACAGTTGAACACAAACGTTATTAGGAGGCTTGTGAAACGTGCACAACTTCTGTGACACGTGCACAACTTCTGTGAAACGTGCACAACTGCTGGGAAACGTGCACAGCACAACATCTATATGAAACGTGCACACATAGGATACTTGGAAAGACTGGGTGGGGGCGGTGAAACACGTTATACCCATATTTGGTTGGTGGATTGGAACATGTTTTTTCCATAATAGATGGAATATTCATGAATATTCCTTCCCATTGACTAATATTTTTCAAGATGGTTAAAACCACAAACCAGCTTATTGATTGTAGGCTTGTTTCATCACCATGAAGCGAACTTGACGACCAACTCGGCTAACTTTTCCAGCACCACCTTATGTATTGTTAACGGAAAACGAGCTAAGGTTTACCACTATTAACAAAACAACGAGTAAATACCAATATTAGTCCGGGACTAGTGAGCCTCTGTTTGGGAAACCTTAGGATACCAAAACTAACAAAAATTCCAATTATTAGTTTCCCAACAAGTATTACTGTACCAATTGACCTTGAGTAATTCACAAAGTAGCTAAGGTTTGCTACTAATATGAACACTATTAGCTCAGGTTTACTAATAAATACTATTAAGAAAACAGCGGGCAAGCTCTGTTTCGGATAGCCTAGATGTCCAGCCAAGGAGTGTCTCCTTCATGCTGCCGACGCCCTCTGGGCCAGAGGAAGACGCTGCACAATGCTGCGGAGGCGACAAAAAAACATCGCCGTTGGATCCACCAGTGGTCCAAAAATGGCGGAGTTACCCTCTGATAAACTAACATAGCTATGGAAAATCACCATTTTTTATGGGAAAATCCACTATTAATGGCCATTTTCAATAGCTATGTAACAAATTACCAGAGGGTATCCAGATGTTTTTGTTGAGTAATGGGTGAATCTATGGGTGTTGATGGATCCAAAAATGGGTGAATCTATGGCCATTTGAGCTGAGAAAATGGGTCAAAAAATATGTTTGTTTTTGGAAAACAAAGAACTAATCTTCACACCAAAATACAGCAGAATAGTGAATAGATGTATGATTATGGATGTTCCTCTCCCCCACCCCTAGTTGGGGTAGCCCAAATTCAGACCCACCTACAGGGTATGTTGATTTATCATTTGAAGAACAAATCAGTGTTCTTTTAACAATATATGATTATATCATCCAAATGAAAGGGTAGTTGTTTGTAGTTTCATATTTTTTTGCTCGCTGCCACTGATGAGAATGTTGTGCATTGATGTGTATTGGAGAATCATTGAGGTTATCGATATCAGTGTTCTGTGTTTTTGTTGGTTGTTCTCATGTCCCATCGTCCCTGGTAAAAGTGTTTATCACATGAACTCAGGGGCTGAGCTACATGGAGCTGGAGATATGGAACCCCAATGATGTCGAACAACTGTGATCATTTTCGCCTCACGATCATAGCCCTCTCTGAAATTCTCTAAACATGGGCAAGATCAACTCCAGGAAATGAACAGAGACAGGTTCCTGGGCTACTGGGCTACTGGGCTGATAAGATGGGGCGAAAAAATGAGATCGACTGGTCCGACCAGCGAGTAGCACTCGTGGGACGGAATTCCCCGAAAAAAAACTACGGCAGGCCTTTCTCGATGGCAGCCTCAGTGCGGATTCCCAGCTGCCAGATCTGCCAGAGGTCCAATCGTTTGGAAAGCATCTGAAATTGGTCATTGTTCCAGAAGATCCATTTTCTTTTCTAATATATTGTAGATCATAGAAGATCCATTGTCTTTTTTAATATATTGTTCCAAGATGTTCTAGTGACTCTAGTGAATATGAATTCGAGTCAAAGGTTGATTCTCAAGTCATGCGCATGTCTTTACCCCAGTTTCTTGTGGATGTTTCCCTCTGGTTTATGAACATCTACTGTATGATGGTTTATGGTTTTCTCTGAGACTGGGGTACCCTCAGTCTCAGCACCAACGGGTTAGAGATATGTTATGTATATATATAATATACGCATGCATAATACATGTTATATAACATTATAACATTGTATAACTACGTATATTTCATATATGATGTAAAAAATACTATACTACGTCATGTTTTCTATTGAATAAACTAACATGTATTTTGTATGGGACATACCAGTCTTCTTAACTACGGTAAACAGTTGGATCACCCCCCGGCAGGACCTACGAGTGGCTCACAGGTCGTATGTCGGCCTCTAGAAAGGACCCAGCGGCCGTCGTTCGGGCTGATGATTCCTATATCCATTTCTTCGTATTCAATGGGGATAAAATGGACAATAATATGGGCATAAAATGCGATATGAATGGGTTTATAACTATAACCAACTTGATCTGAAAATAGGGGGTTGTCTTTAAATGGGGCAATCAATATAACCAACTATATAAATGGCTATATAATTATCAACCAACTGATATTTAAAGAGGTACACTAGGTATAAGTATACTCCCCAACTTGAGAGTTGTTAAAAGGGGAACATGACAGTCATACCAATGACAGACATCAGGGTACCCAACGGTTGACCATAGTTGAGATGATCAGACACGTCGGACACGTCGGACATATCCGACACGTTGGTGGTTTCAGACATGTATCATTGTCCATTTCATAAAAAAGGGATGTCATTCTTCCCATTGACGAACTCATATTTTTCAAGATGGTTATTGCATGTTATTGCACCACCAACCAGTATCTCATTGTGTCTATAAATCTTTGTACATGTTAATCAATCATGGTAGTAATATCATGGCAATAATAATGCAAGTAATAGCCAAATCATGTTGTTACCCTCTGGTAAATTAACATAGACCCTGAAAATAACCAATTTTTATTGGAAACTAATCTTCCAACCCCTATCTGCCAGGGTCTATGTTAATTTACTGGAGGGTGATATATAGATATGCAGCTAAGACGTTGAACTCCATAGATCAGTAGCTCAACAAATTACAGCCGGCCGTTGCGCCGAATTGTCCGCAGAATCTGCTGGTCTTCTTTTTCATGATTTTGGAGGCTTGCTGTGTAAACCCCGCAGGGGCGGTGGTGTCAGGTGTGCAATGAAACTGCCATCAAGATCCATGAACCGTGTGGACAAGCATCATTTATCTCCGCAAACTGCGTCTATCACTTGGTTTCAAGATGTTTTAGCAGGTTTTAGCTATGATGAACAAAAACATTGGTCCGCATGGCGATGATTTTTTGACATGGATTTGAAATTGTGTATTGTGCCAAGAAGCGTAAGAACCACACTAAACCGATTCGAGTTTCCACACATTCTTCGTTGATATTAGTTGTTCTAAACACGGGATGGTTCCCAATTTGTTTGACTTTCATATTCTATCAGAATGTTGTCCAAATGTTTCTTGATCAAAACCACTGTTGGTTGATGATTAGTTGGGGGATTATACTACCCAACAATAATCCAAACGGGAAATCCTCAATATATTGGATATTGGGTAGTAATGGGTAGTATTTTTGGATTATCTATTATACTATTGTATTATCAATATAGTAATCTATTAAACATTATTAAACAATCTATTATTGTTATTATTATACCGTTGTTGTATTATACTATCTATGAAAATCTATTATACTGAATTATACTAACCAATTATTTATACTATTTTATACTACCCAATACATTTAGGGATTCTAACGATAAACCAAGCGTCGTCTTGGCCCAACGGGCGAGTCCCGTTGGCCCAACGGCTGTCAGGGGGTTCGTCTCATCGTGGCCAAGAACGCGTTCGTGCCAGGCCTTTGAGCTAAAAAATTGTCAGCCCTGGTTTGTTACCCTCTGGTAATGACTAACGTAGCTATGGAAAGATCCACCATGTTTAATGGGAAAATCCACTATTTCGACTGGGCCATTTTCAATAGCTATGTAACAAATTACCAGAGGGTAATGTTGATTAATGGGTTATTCATGGTTTATTCATGGATTATTATAATGTTTATTGTTGTTTATGAACAATGTTTTTTTTCAAGTATTGATGGTGTATTAATGTTTTATCTGGTTTATAAACCCCCAAATAGTGATAATCTATGATAATCTGATACTCTTAAATGGTACCCAAATTCAACTTAAGCCTTTTTTTTGGGGGTTGTAAATATCCAGGGTTCGAGGCCTGACACTCCCATGTTTGACATGGCTGCGGCAATATGCTTATGCGGCAATGGATTTTTCGTCTGGAGATGAAATCCACAAAACTGGCAAAGACCTTAATGGAAATTTCCGGTTGGAATCCATTTGTGGATATTTCCATAGTGTGGATAATCCTCAAAGACCAAAAAATGGATATGATCCAGTCATATCCAGTCACTCTAGTTCTCAACCTACGGTTGGAATCCAGGAATCCATCCCTAGAAATCCGCCATGACGTTCGCCATGACTTCGCCATCGGGTTGATCCTGAAGGTTGGATACGATTTTTCCCCCCAGATCCAATGGTGAAAAACCTCATTTTCCATGAAAAAAAATCGGTATTTTTGATGAAAGAATTGGAGGGGCGACTTTCGGCCAATCCTGTATTTTCAGACACAGCCAGATATCAAGTTGGTGATAGTTATATCCCCATGAAAATCCCATTACTATCCCCATATTGTGGTCCATACCATCCCCGTTGAAAGCTAAGAAATGGATAGAAACTTGTGGGCCCATTGGTACCCCATGACAGACCCAAAGGACCTGGCACCTGCGATCCCAGGGGTGAACATGCTTTCAATCCTGGTGGTGGAAAATACTTCCTCTTTGGCGCCAAGCTTAGAGATTTTGGCGTCATCAATAGCGGTGAAATTGGCGCAATCTTGTAATGGGCGAATTTCCTTACCCTCTGGTAAACTAACATAGCTATAGAAAATCACCATTTTGAATAGGTAAATCAATTATGAATGGGGTATTTTCAATAGCTATGTTAAATTACCAGAGGGTATATGCAATACCACAATACCACCCATGTGACACCCTCCAAACGAATTGACCCCAGATCTGATCAAGTTGTTTGATACGAGGCACAAACCAGGGTGGAGTCTCCTTCACGTATTGGTGAATGATTATTTAAGAAGTAGCTGCAATGTCTAGCAAAGAACATAGGCTGGAAATCTAGAGCAATCAGTTTCCGGCAAGAAAGGCAACCCTCCGAAATCCTCAGAAACATTGGTTATTTGAATGTACGCCATGCGGGGCCATACTATGGAGGGATCTATTAGGGGTGTTAGGGATTGAGTGCTAGTTGGTGTTTCACTAAAAACAAAAAATGCTGCCGCACAAATTACCGCTCTACCGTGTGCATAAATCTGTGCTCTATCTACAGTAGATCGACAGTCCAATTTTCTCCAAGCGCGCTCAGCCCATTCCCCAAGGGTTGCCCCAGATATCCATGGACGGATTCCCATGGATTCCATGGTGGCTGGATCTTATGGCTGGAAGAAATCGTCCTTTTGTGATGATTTTTTTTTGACATGTCCAAGATTTGGGGTATCTAGGATTCAAGTATATCTGTTCATAACCCAACCTGTCATCATAAATCCCATGTTTCTGATCCGAATCCGGATCTTGATGGGAGGAATTTACATCCGCAGAATTTGGTCCGAATCCAGAGCTCCAGCTGTCGCGCTCGTTGAGAAACTCCGCGTCCAATTCATGTGGGGTTTCCCAGGACCAACGTTTGATGGGAAGATGGCTCAAACCACGGGTTGCATCACACCAGTGAAGGGGCGTAATTATCATCAATCCATAGAATTCCATAGAAATCCATGGCCAATAGCCACTTTAGTATGTTTATATATGTTTGTCGTCTTTTTTGTAAGTCTATGTCATGCCATTCATGGAAAGCGTGAAGCCTGAATTCAGTTCACCAGATTTTACCTTTTAGTTTTTGTTTTTTCTTGTGGTGTAAACTTAAACATCTAAGATTGTCACGTTGTGGTCTTATTACTAATTCATACTAAAACAACATAGACCTCAAGATTGACTAATACCAAAGCCAGACACTAAATTCACTCAACCTTGTGAGGTCATCTATAGTTACACTAACTTCATAACTATATAGTTACCCTCTGGTAAATAAACATAGACCCTGAAAATCACCAATGTTTAATGGAAACTACTCTTCCAACCCCTATCTGCCGGGGTCTATGTTTATTTACCAGAGGGTAACATGAGTTATATGATGCTACTATATATATATATATCTATAGTTAACATGAGTTATATGACTAGTTCCCTGGATCTTTATGGGACCCTTGAAATACCTTGAAGCACTGCGAGGTTTGGAGAAATCATCAGTTGGTTCACCGATCTCTTCCGATCCCTGGGGCTCTTGGCACAGAAGAGCCTCGACTGCCTCGACTCGGTGTTCGTTGTGGCCTTGATGTGGCGGGAAGGATTAAGGTCCAAAGCACATCATGAAACGTTGCAGTTTATACATGTAGAAATATCGACATTAAAGGCATGTATGATGTTATGATATGTTATGTTATGTTATCTACGCATTCTAAAATCATTCGAAATCAATGACGTATACGTGTGTCCTACGTGTGTCCTTGATATTGGAACTAACTGACAGACCTACTAGTAAGCCTGCAGTTTTATCAACCAAGTAAGACATTCAACATGGATGGTCATTGCCACTCTCACAGTTGTTGAACTCTTTGGGCATGTTCCTCAGTATTCAAGCACTAGCGGCTAATGAAGTACTAGGGTATGTTCTTTAGTGCTTGAATAGTATTCAGTAGTCATACCGCTAGTTGATTTTAGTCAAACAAAAAAAACACACAAGATCACTAGCCTTCCAACCTTCCAGCAGCCTGTTTTGTTCACAGTGCTCTTGACGGAACCACCGTTAGTGGCAATAGTAGCAGAACTCAAATTTAGTACTGTAGTTAGTATCAAGCAGGCCACATTTGTTGATTTCAATATATATGTGTATATATATATATACTGTCTTTCTCTCTCTCTATTTATGTATATGATATGTATAATAATGTATACATATATATATACATATTTGCTGTGATTATATATAATTTACTTATATACACCCAATACATCTATATTCATAATGTTTAACTCAAGTCCTTAGGTGGGACCCTAAACCCCTGAAAGGGTCACGTTCATCCCATGCCGCAACCAGGAAAGCAAAGATTTGTTTCCTGGGGCTGGACAATGCTGGGCCACTGGGCGGAACGCCATGGATTTTCACGGGGACAAGGGCCACAGGTTTGGGGGATGTGTTTTTATGACTTGAAGAATGCAGCTAACTGAATAAAATTAAGGAATATGGAGGGAAGTTATGGAGGAATCTATAGTTGATAATCCTACCATCCGACCCAAATTCTTCCAAATCTGGTTGACCCCCGTTTGCATGGAGCTTTTGAGGTTCTTTAGGATGTGAAAAAGAGGATAACTTGATAACTTCTTCCCACATCTCCCCCATGTGTTTGCGAAGTTTTCAACTCTATCTATTTGGGGGGTTGCTTTTAGACAACGTTGCACCCCTATTTCTGCCACGACAGACATCCCTCTTGGGGCCAGGAAAACGACGCTTCTGCAGATGCTGCGCGATGGGCGCCTGTCAGTGAACGCTCCCACACTCTATCCCAGCAATGAGGTTCCTGAGTGGGCGCTGTTGGCATGAAACGAGCAGTGTCAAAAACCTTCTTTGACAATTTATTTCTTAGAGATTTGGATAGATTTAGCATATAATGATTCATTGTTGCTTTATTTCCATTGCATATGAGCATACAATCGGTTGAAATTAGTGGCCGTTGATGATGGTAGGAGGTTGGGGATTCTGACAATCCATTATGGGGATCCGAATTGAACTAGCCATTGCAGGTGGGATTTTCCAATCTTGGGCTAGCCTGAATCAAGAGTAGATTGACTTGATTTGTTACGTTATTTTATTATGTAATTACACAATTATAGATGTTTTGTCTAAGAACGGGTATTGATATCAAGTTTTTACACATATCATATACTCGTATGTGTTATTTTCTGTGGGTAACATGGTACGTTACGACCTTTTTGGCAGGGAAATATCGCCAAATATAATCAAATCATATACATCCTACTGCCCCTGGTGCACATCCAAAGTCAGATGAGGGGCTGGCGTTTTATGGATGTTGCCAGGCCATATCGTAGCAGTGATTCAGTGTTGTCAAACATGATTGAACATAGGCAGATTAGAGCCTAATTTTTTGGGTGCAGCTGTAGATATACCAGGTGAGAATACCATAGACCATTTGTACCTCCCATGATATACCAGAGATATATACCCTCAACTACTTAGGGTCTAGAATAGGTGACCCTACAGCGGTGACTTTCCAAAGGTCTAAAGGCATCAGTCCCCCATTGTAGACCTTTTGGCCTACCAGCATTGTAGACCTTTTGGAGTCTCGTCTTGAGCAGCTTTGGTGCATGTGATGCACTTCTCTGGGACCATGATTCCAGAAATCATGTTTTTTTGAAATTCATCCGTGGCAGCCTTGTTGAGAGCAAGATAAAAAATTGATGGGGCAAACAAATGCAAAAAAACCTTGCTTCAAAAGACTTTTTTGTTTTGGAGCCTCTGTGAATCACTGTTGAAACAGCGATCAAGATTCAGCGTGCAAAAAATGCTGGGATGTGGGAGCTGCTGTGATGTCATGGTTGATTCTGGAGAAAACCACAATAGACACCTTGAAATCTGTACCAGGCCAAAGGTCTACATATCTTTACGTACTGACTGCAGGCAATTGTATATAGACCCAGCGTGTAGGGTCTACAATGCAACCCCCAAGGCCCCTAGCTAGTACCTGAGGGTATAGAGATATGACATATGACATACACCATTTCTGGATTCATTTGTCACGTGGATTTACCATAGATTTACCAGTCAAGAAATGACCTTCGCTGCAGAATGAGAAAACCATCGATTTCCCCATACAATTCCTATCGATTTCCCAGAGATTTCATAGATATCATAGATTTCCCATAGCTTTCCCATTTTTCCCATGGATTTCCCTATAGATTTCCCTATAGATTTCCCTATAGATTTCCCAAAGCTTTCCCATTTTTCCCATGGATTTCCCTATAGATTTCCCATAGCTTTCCCATTTTTCCCATAGATTTCCCATAGCTTTCCCATTTTTCCCATGGATTTCCCCGTAGATTTCCCATAGCTTTCTCATTTTTCCCACAGATTTCCCTATAGATTTCCCTATAGGTTTCCCATTTTTCCCATGGATTTCCCTATACATAGATTTCCCATAGCTTTCCCATAGCTTTCCCATTTTTCCAATGCATTTCCCTATAGATTTCCCTATAGATTTCCCATTTTCCCATGGATTTCCCCATAGATTTCATCTCCGCCGTGACTCTTTCGTCGTCCCATCGTAACTAGCGTCGTAACGCCAGGAGCTGAACATCAACGGCATTCGCTTTCGAACCTTCGATCTGGGCGGCCATGAAACTGCCCGGCGTATCTGGAAGGCCTGCTTCGCCGTTGGGAAGCGGGAAGTGCAAGGGCTAAAACTATGGGGAAAACTATGGGAAATCTATGGGAAGGGCTAAAACTATGGGAAATCTATGGGAAGGGCTAAAACTATGGGAAAACGGTGGGAAGTGCTTGGGAAGTACCTGGATTTCTGGGTAACATGGGATAAACTTATTGGAAAACGATGGGAAAACAACATGGAAAATCGTTTTTAAGCGCTAGTATTTGTTGAGTCATGATATGCCACAATTGGGTTTTTGTTTTCTGTTGCGGGTTCGGAATCCGAACTTATCAACTGGGATATACATTTGGAAGGTCACAAAGTTCCCTCTCAAGATGGCAATAAATTAGGTAAACGAGGGTATACCCCATTTTAACAGTCACCCAAAAGAGTAGGACAAATTCCCGATGTTCATTGGTTAATCCGTGTCTTTCATGCTTGAAACCTGTTCCATATACATATATATATATATATATATCTGGCATGTGGGGATCCCACCAAGCACTGATCCTTGTGACCCCCGGGTTTGCTTCACCCTTTTTGTGAAGCAATGAGTCACTCTCCGGTGTCCCGGGTGTCCCCGGGTGTCGGGCCGGGGTGACCGTTCCCGGTGAGGACTATTTGTCGGCGGTCGATGGCATCATTTTCTTAGTGGATGCAGCAGACCGTACGCGCTTCCAAGAGGCCACCGGGCTCGCTGGTTCCAGTGGCGATGGCTGCCATGCAAAGCGCACTTTGATACTCAAGGCAATAGGCAATATGTATATATATATACATATATATGTACATGTGTATATACATATGTATGATATATATATATGTATATATATATATACAATATATATATATCATATATATAATATTTTTTTGGGCAATATATTTACAATTTTGTTTGTCTAGATGTATACATACACGCTTTCATAGGTGGGACTTTGTAGCTTGCACTTTCAGGCGGCAGAAGAGTTGGGCCGCCTCCTAGACGACCCAGCGCTGGCGAGGGTGCCCTTTGTGGTGCTAGGCGGGAAACCATCTATGCAAATGAGGATACTAAGGAGGATATAACATATAAATACATATAACGTATATATATATATAAAGATAACCAACAAGATTGGAATAGAATTGGATATAATTGGATAGTGTATATATACCCACTGAGATGTTATTAATGGGTCTGTCTTTTTCAATGGTCTCTTTTCCCTGGAAAATGACGATGAACCAATAAATTTAGAGTTCTCGAGTCCATAAATGTCTATGTGATGGCTAACATGTGGCTTTATATGGTACAGTTGCACAAATTTCCTTGCTGAAAATGACTGGTAATGCTTGGTATGGATTGGTCAGTTTAGCAGGACATCTACAAATACCATCCAGTATATCATGGTAAGTAGTAACTGTTTTTGTACTAATTATCTACAATCCAAATTGGCATTTAATTCCATTAGGTTATTTAAACATATTTAACCAATCTAACTTTAGGTGCCAATTATGGGGATTAAATGACCCAGAACCATATATTGGATTGTTGATAGTCAATAATGATACTGTGGATTTTGGATCTTCTTGGTCATTATGATCTTCTCGAGAATGAAATTCTGGGGGTACTGTACCTAACAATCCAATTGTATCAACAAACCAATTCCTAGGGACCCAATTGTTCAGTATCAACAATCCAAATTTGCGCCATACCCATACCAACCATCATGTTGGCTGTGAATGCAATTCTTCAATCCCGATTAATGGGGATCACAATATTCTCAGGGAAATGAATTTACTGGGATTTTTGCCCAAGCACAATCCACTAATGGAAGATATATATATATATATTAGGACGGCGAACACGGGATTTAGCAAACAACTCATAGATATGTTGGATGTTTTTTTTGGGTTCGCCACTGAGGACTAAAAACCAGCGAATCTGACTGGGTAGTTGAGAAACCAACGTCTGCAATGCCAGCTTTTGATGGGGAGATAATGTCCGACATATGTATATATATATATATGTTTACATAATATGTATATATATATATAGTATTAACTCACTCCAGATCATGTTGGTTGTTTAATGTTTTCTGTGCAAGGTATCCACGATTTGCCATGAAATTCAAGAAGTCCATCAACTCATACTTGAGAATTCAACTAACAATCATAGGATCTCGACCATCAAGAGAAGGAGTATAACCATATACTGTAGAACCAAGAAATTATAGTCATTAAGCCACCAAAGACTGGGTGTAAAGCAGCGAAGATAAGGGAAACCACCAACAACAAATGTGACTTGAAGATTACAAGATACCCCCTGGTAAACGTTTCCATAACTATGGAAAGATCCACCATTTTCAACATTTTCAAAGGGTAAATCCACTATTTCGACTGGGCCATGGCTTCAATAGCGAACTGTAACAGTCATTACCAGAGGGTATTATAAGCAGGAAAGAAGCATCAAACATGTGGATTATGGCGGTGAAATCCCTACAGCTACAACTTGGCGAATGAAGAATGACTCAATTGGCCTTATGATAAATCACACACACACACATCCATATCCATATCCATATCCACATATACATATATATATATATACATATATATATACATATATATATATATGTATATTATATATATGTATATATATACATATATATATATACATATATATATACATATATATATACATATATAATATACATATATATATATATATCCCATATGTTTCATTGAACATCATCCCATGTTCTTGCTAAACGTTTAGAAACCCCCTGCCCAGTTCCAAATGGGCAGGCAACAAGATCGACATCCCGGTGGCAGCCTCTGAAGACGAGCTGCGACATTCCCTTGGACTCTACACCCACATGACGTCAGGCCATGGGGAACCCATGGAAAACCCATGGAAAACCCAGGGAAAACCCATGGAAAACCCATGGAAAACCCATGGAAAACCCATAGTGCCCTGCTCACTGATCTACAAAATGGTGGGTAAACTCGACATCTATATAAACGTTTACAGGAGGGTAAAAACCAAATATTTGATGGGGGTTTAGTTCGTGATATGGTGGTGGGATTTAATGGATATATACATATATATATATATATACACATAATGCGGAGAACATGGGACTGGAATATGCATCACCCAGAATATGAAGTCTTGTTTTTTTCAAAAAATAGAGAATTTACAACCAATAGTGGCAATTTGCATGGCAAAATCCAAGGATAAACCACAGGAGTTTGAGGTTCTTATCGTTTGGACGAAGCCATAAATCTGCATGGTCCAGACCCTGAAATATGAGACTAATTCATCAGATATAGCCATGCCAAGCAAGATACAAAAACAAAAAACGGAATATTGACCAGGTAGGATAAACATAAATAAACTATAATAAACTCTATATATACCAGGAACCTCCAGCGTCACTTAAATTTATGCCCCAGTACCCTTTCGATACCTAAATCAACAAGTCGTCACCTAAATCACCTTTTCGTTTTCGTAAAAATATTCCCCGAGCACAATTTTGCAAATCGAGCGCTTTTCCTTCCAACAGCGCATTTAAAGAACTCTTCAGCCTGCTGCCTACTTTTATCTGAGCCGTGGCTACTTGTCATTAAATGTGTGCAATTCTCCAGGGATGAACATTTTTTGCAAGACCCACACGCTCAAAAAGGTCGCGCAAAAAATGTGCAAAACGGGCACAAATCTGCGCAAAAAAGTGCAAACGGGCGCAAATCCAAAACAAGTTTCCTCTAAACCCCAAAGGATTTCTCACGCATGTCTATTTGTGTTTGTCTGAACACCCCAATATTTGCAGAGAAAAGTGCCAAACCACGGCTCGTAAAAACCTGTGACGCGCAGATTTTTCAAAAAGGAACACTTTTTCCTTCACGAGCGTAAACGTGCGTTTTAGGGCAGAAACTCAACGTCATGTAAATTTACGTTACTTTGGAGGTCCTAGGTATAATATAACATATATGTGGAAAATCAACCATGTGTAGATGATTTTCCTGGGGAAACTATAGGTTGTCCACATCTACGTTACTTTACCCTAGGGTTTTGATATAGCCACGGTAATCCAACATGGCTAACTGGAAAATCTCAATGAGAAATGAAGCCTTTAATGGGATAATGATCGAACAAAATGGTGGATTTTGCCATGATGCTTGATTACTGGAGTGTATCTCATGATGTAGAAGTATTGGGTTATATATGCTTATATATATATTTATATTGAGAACATATCAATAATTTTCAGATCAGACCGTTGCTTGCCTGGGAGGCAAGTACGTGACCAAGGGAGAGGCATCCGTGAGACCTTTGGAACTCTTCATGTGCTCCGTGGTGAAGCGTGACTTGCAACGGTCGATCGAATCCTGCTGGGTCGATCCCTCACCATTGATGGTCAGTACTGGGAAGCCAACCAAAACGGAACGCTAAAAATGTCTTGGTGAAAAATCTCTGATTCAGCCAACCTTGGTCAATGGCGTCAGTGGCAGGATTACGTCTCCTATCCTGCTGCTGTTACATTTCTAATAGCTATTGATCCGTTTTTGTGAGTTATGATCGATTCTTCAACTCACCATTTAGAAGATTGATGTAAAAAAAATGCAACGTGATGTAACATCATAGATAGACAGATAGATAGATAGATAGATCGATAGATCGATAGATCGATAGATCGATAGATCGATAGATCGATAGATAGATAGATAGATAGGTAGATAGATAGATAGATAGATGGCTAGATGGATAGATAGCTAGCTAGATAGATAGATAGAGATAGAGATAGCGATAGAGATAGAGATAGATAGATAGATAGATAGATAACTATAGTAAACAGATATACTAAACAGATATACTAAACAGATATACTAAATAGATATACTAAATAGATATACTAAATAGATATACTAAATAGATATACTAAATAGATGATTATATATATTTATATACTATATATATACTATATATCTACTATATATATACTATATATATATATTCTATATATATACTATATATATACTATATATATATACTATATATATATATACTCTATATATATACTATATATATACTATATATATATACTCTATATATATACTATATATATACTATATATATACTATATATATACTATATATATATACTATATATATACTATATATACTATATATACTATATATACTATATATACTATATATACTATATATACTATATATACTATATATACTATGTATACTATATGTATACTATGTATATATATACTATATATACTATAAATACTATATATCTACTATATATCTACTATATATATACTATATATAGTATATATACTATATATACTATATATACTATATATACTATATATGATATACAGTTTATATACATTCTCAATACCCAACAGCACGTCAAGTCGCAGTCGCCAAGGCATGGGATATGCAGAGGCCTTTGACTGGCTGGCGAAGCTTGTGGCATGGCGGAGGAACTGGGCACGGCAGGTTGGTACAGTTGGAGCCATGGATCTTTTGGGAATATCATGGGAAATCATCTTTAACTGGGAGTAAATGGGGATATAACCATGATAGACCCATGACAAAACTAGGGGTTTGATGCTGTTAAACTGTTAAATAGTGTAGCTATATAGAGGAGCTGTTTTTTTTTCATAATGTAACTATAGGAGATCATGGGACACGTACACAGAGAGGGATACTACATGGTCATGGGGATATGGCTAACCAACTTGACATTAAGAGCGATAAATCTGATCGCTTTGGGATGAGCATGAAACCATAACTTGAAACATAAGTTGGTTGGTTGTTAGGACTACACCTATAGAGGTTTTATGGTGATAACATGTGACAACTTTGTTGTTCCGGAGAGGTTTCCAAACATAACGGACCCCTTTTTTGCAGGCATTGAAGGGCGAGAACGGGATGTTGGTGCCATGGTTTTGCAACAAAAACCGTATGGGGTTTGCCCAGAAATGGATGTGCCACAGCTTGGAGGTACACAATCCCAAATTGAAACATCTGTTCATGCGGCTTGAAACCGGTGGCAACCATACAGTAAGATAGGATTGGAACCCCAATTTCAGGATTTTCAGAAAGTCCAGTTATGAAATATAGGGGGGGGCGGAACTTACCCACAAAATCTGGGCTTTAATCTCCAGGAAAAAAAACAGGGAGATAGCTGATAAACATGTAAATGATGGTTGGTTGATATCAGTTACATTGTTCGGGGCCCAAGAATCTGGGACTTGATGGCACGCTTCTGTATCTTTTCCATACACTTCCTATAATGCCGGGGAAAGTTCACGGGTCGCGAAGGTAAAGATGTAGAGACATGACCTTGATCGTAGTTGGAAGCTGGGTTTGTTCTTCCCCCACTTTAGGACATGTTGAGATAATTTTTGGATATACTGTGGATGGTTACGAAATCCTTCACCAGTATAGATGGTAAACATCCCAGTATAATCCCACCCAAAATCCCATGAAATTCACTTGGTGTTTCATACTTACCAATAGTTACCACTTGGTGCAGGATTTCCCAACCATGCTTCCTGCTGCACGTCTGTGCAACAGCGATCATCGCTGACTTCGAGGTTTGAAGATTTGCTACGCTGGATGTAGCAGAAACCGCGCCGGGGTGCGTCGCGGTGACATGATGTGAGGCTGTCTTTCGGTAGCACCCAATGGACCTTGAGAAGAAAGGATTCCCATAGGATCCATGGTGCTGGTATATATGGTGACATAGATCCCATCAATATACCCCAGTCATGTTAGCATATACCCCAGCACCATGGATCCTATGGGATTGGATCCCAGAAAAATTTTGCGACACAAATAGGGTTCCACGAAGTGATCAGTTATGATCTTAATTCATGAGAATAAAAAAAAGTTCGCGGAAAAAGCTCATGCAGAAACAGACATTTCCTGCTTGACGCACACCCAGCCATATTTCTTGGGAACGGTGCTGTCCCAACCGCGCTGGTGGTCACTGAGCTTCTGGGAAGCCCCACATGACCTGGGTCCTTGGAAAACCCCACCAGTCGGGGCATGCTTTCCCCAGTGAGATATCCCCCAACCGTGTGTCAAGTCCAAATTTATGCCCCTCAACTTGGTAAGGTTTCAGCCGGGTCTTCCCGAAGGAGCTTGGTCTCTCAAGAAAAGCATCTTGAAGATCCGCAAATTCGAAGAGGGTCCAGCGCTCCGCTTTTTGGCGCCGAAAAACCGCAACTGTGAGGAACGCCTATATCATTGCTGGGTAAAGCGACTGCAGGGTTTCCTCCTTGGTACATAGTGTTCCCCAAGAGACGTCTGACAGGCAGCTAGCTTGTTTATCATGTTTGGGTACCTTATGTATTAATAGTATAATAGTGTAGAATTATTATATTATATTATATTATTATATATGATTACATTATGATATGATATATATATATACATAATTGTGTATATGTATATATATATATATACTGTACGTCTAGGACATCGCACAGTGTGATCAAAAAGCGGACCGCGATTTGTGCAGACCGCCCTTGCAATCTTTGGTCGCCCCTGGTGATGAAACATCTGTTGGGTGTTGAACACTTCGAGTTGCATCCCAGGTACTAAGTGGGTGAAAAACAGGTTGCCGAAGGAGTCCAAATCCCATGGCCCGGCACACCTCTCCCCTTGTTGCGGTTGCATTAATGCATATAATGTGGCCTCACCAGTTATAAGTTGGTGTGTAAACCCCAAAAAAACTATAGTGACTATACTTATAAGATGTTATCTGTATTATATATAGCACTTATTGGAGTTTTGTTCACCAACTTAGCTATCTAGGGCTCCCACCTTGCTGGTGATTCAAAAAGGTCGGTGTGTCCGGTCCAAAAAAGGTCCCGATGAATTCATCACCAGAGACGCCACGTGCCTGGCATCGACGCTCCAGGCATGCCATCGTTGTGACTTCAGTAACATACTGAAACATACTGAAACATACTGAGACAGAAACATACTGAAACAGACATTATTACCCTCTGGTAAACATACAAAAAGCTATTGAAAATGGCCATAGAAATAGTGAGTTTTCCCATGAAAAATGGTGATGTTCCATAGCTACGTTAAATTACCAGAGGGTAGTTCAGCATTTGTTCCAGACAATCACACTTTCTGAAGTGAACTGGTTAACTAATAGTCAGTGGGATTCTACTCATTGTATCTAGGTTATAACATGTTATAATCGCTGTAGAGCCAGCAGTTTCAACAACCCCCAGTCTGCCAGTGGCATATCATCTGGGAAGCTCATGGTTCCTGGGACTGAACACTCACCTCCATCCCGGGGCCCAGAATTTGGCAAAGAGCTATAGAAAGTGTGTAACTGAGTTTACTTCATTTAGCTATTTAGCTTTCATAACATGTCATAATTATAGTTGCTTCCATAACTATAGTTATATATCGAAACCAGGATTACAAAGCCAAACTTCTACATTCCTGGAGCGCAACATGACAGAGAGAGTCAGTGTTCGCCATGTTCCGGAAGGGTACCAAAACTGTGCCATTTCCTTTTCCTCCGTCGTGCAGATCGCGGAGAGAAAAAGAGTCGTAGGGTTTTGGATTGACTTGAAGACCTGGCAACTTTCCGCTTTCAAATGTCACTTTTTGACCTCGTGGGGCCCCACATATTGAAGCGGAATGTCTCCTTGTTAAATATGTTTTGGTTTGGATACGTATTTGTAGGGTCTCTAGGCATCTTTGACCTTCATGGCTTTCAGGATGTCAAAAGCCAGTAACCACATCATGATGCAGATGATGATGGGTGGCTGTTGGTTTTCAGCACATCATGTTCTATCTCTACTTCCATCCTATAACCTCCATTTTGCTACAAGTGTCCATGGATATTGCCATTGATATACAATTTATATATATATAATTATATATATAATTATATATATATAATTTAATGTATATATAATCATTAAACCTTGCATTTTCAAACTCATTCTCTAGCGTTTGTGTTTCAGATTATTGAATGAATTGCCAAAGTCATTTTCCGGGTGTTTTCTGTCAGATTCATTTTTGGATGTTTTGCGACCGTAAACCATGACCCTATCCCACTCTCGTGCCAAGTTGGTTAGGTGCTGGCCGCCCTTGTGACTGTCTTCATGGAAGGATCCGGAATTTGTCGGGATCTTCTGTTGGAAGCTGAGATGGTTCAGATGCTTCAGATGAAAACAGGCTTTTTGAAGCCTTCGTGTTCATGAATTTCATGTTTGTAGTTTCACAACATTGTAATTTAACATTATAGACTTACAGTAATGTCAACCCCGGATTAATAAACCATGGTTTATGGAAAAAAAAGGGGGGTACTCCTATAGTCATTTCATCTAATACTTAAATGGTACCCTCCCAATTCAACAGCCGGGCTAGGGTTTATTAATCCAGGGTTGACAAAAAATCAGTTTTGCGGCGACCCGCTGTAAGTCGGTCCCGAAAAAATTGCAGGTTTTTTTCGGTAGCCCCAATTGATTTTGGCACACGTGTTCCAATAATTTGGATGAATGGTTTATTGGTTTACCTGCCTGGTTTAGCCTCGGGTAATCAAACGTGGCTGGCTGGAAAATCCATGGCTTGAATCATTTACAGTGTACAGATTATTTCTCCATGAAAATCCCCATTCCAACGGAGATTTCTGAATTCCCAGCTAGCTACGTTTGATTGCCGGAGGCTCCCGAGGGTATCGCCATTTGCTGGTTGCATCTCCGTTCTGGTCCAACTTTCCATTCTTTATGGTCCTTATCCTCACTTGGTGCTGTTGATGCTTATCACTACATCAGGTTCTGTCAAATGTCAAATCAGTGGATTTAGGGCTACACCATTTTTTGAGATCATACTACCTTGATAATTACTATATTTAGAATTCATACTATCTTCATTGATCTATCCTCCGATTTTGCAGCGAACAGGGCAAGAACATGCATTAAAACTCAGCCCAAGAATGGGATCGTGCTACCTCCCCAGGGGCCACAAGAAGACACACACACACAAAAGATATCAACCAAAAATACGCCACGTGTTTTCTGAAAAAACTATGGAAAGATCCACCATTTTTAATGGGACAATCAACTATTTCTATGGCCATTTTCAATAGCTTTTTGTATGTTTACCAGAGGGTAATAATGTCTGTTTCAGTATGTTTCTGTTCCTTCTCCCCAAGTTGTCCTCCATGTTTGGTCGGTTTTTTAATATGGATAGCGATGGATAGCGATCAACAGTTATAGCTCGGCGGATCGTAGAGTCTGGTCGTGGGGGGTACCCATATGTGCCATGGTCAGAACATGGCTTACCCTCTGGTAATTTGTTACATAGCTATGGTATAGATGGCCCATAAAAATGATGTTGATTTACCCATTAATAGCATGGTGATGTTCCATAGTTGTGTAAACGTTTACCAGGCCGGGTCTCTTTTAAATCAGTTGGTGATGGTCATCTCCCCATTAAAATAACGGTTTATATTAACCCTTTATGTAAGCAATCCCGGAATCACAATCCTGGGATGACCATACCCCCTATACCATGTTTGTGACCATGTATCATATCAAGTTGGTTTGTTGTATTCCATGAAATATCCCTTCATAATCACATACACATTTATTATAGTTGTGTGCGTTGTTTTTTTCCATTACATCTCATATTCCATGACATACACAATTTAGACATGTGATGAACACCAATGTCTTATCATCTACGCTTATATCATCACCCATAAATGTGAACCTATAATTTCTGTTCAACCTAATCATAGGTTAAGTGATGTTAAATCACATTTTTCATATTTTAATGATGTTAAATGATGTTAAACGATGTTAATGATGTTTTTCATGTCTAAAAATGTCTAAACATCACCTCTTTAGCCGCTCTCCGGTGAGGTCACTGGTTAGAAACAAACTCAGGTCGTGGGGCCAGTTGTGGCGTTTCATGATCAGCGCTTTGCTCTTCACCATTGCCTCTGGCTTGGCCGGGAGACCTTGAAATGCGAAGAAAACTGGTGATTTAGCCTTGAAATCCATGATGAATGAGGGATCAACATGGATCATTAATCAGTTAGATTCAGTTGGATAGCTGCTGGGTCATAAAAGATGCAGTGAAGCAAACAACATCCCAAATATTTCAAAAGTCCTACTTTGAATCTGGAAAAATAGGATATAAACGATATATACCTTTGAATCTTTCGATTCTAATACAACTTATATATATTTGGATATATATATATACATATCGTTTATGGAATGAACAGCTACATAAGTATCGAACATGGGATTAACAGAGCCGGATTTAGGCATCAACAAACGGGTGAAACATATGGAGATTCAACGTACAAACATGGTGTGTGTGTGTGTGTGCGCTTGGATTTTGGTAATATCATCACAGAACATGGTTGGGATTATGTTGGCCAATTAATTACTCAATAAACAATGGATAGGATTTTTATGAATATACCCATAAACATTGATGGTAGTTATTATGCATAGGGATCGTATGGATCATATAGGTATCTAGGTCAATAATGAATATGTTTTGTTGTTGGTATGGCTTGATTTTCTATATACAATTATAATATCACCCTTTAGATATTCCTTGTAAACCAGCAGAACCCGGGTACCGCTTTTAGAGGCAGTTCAGTTTATAACGATTTCATTTCTGAACATGAGACATAGAAAAGGGAGGGCTTTATAAAATGCATGCATTTTTGACATACCGATCGTCGTTCTATAATCTAGCCCAATTTTTGGGGCTATACAATGACAAATCCAAGTAACAAGAACAAAACCTAACCCTGGGTCACAAAAACAATTATATAATGGTCCTGTGATCGGTCTATACATGTTAGAATTAAAATGCCTATTCCGGCCTATTCCCAAAAGAATCATCCGGACATGCCATTATTCTGGTCGGGCGGTTATAACATGTCCAATATGGTCTGTTTCATAATCCTTGATCTTTTGCCAATTTGTAAGGTTTTACTTTGGAAAAAAGTGCCCGGACAATAGGCATTTTATAACTTCAAGAAGTGCAATTTTATAAAAGCGGCATGTCGGAATTGCCATTTTTTAAGGAATTGTCAATTTACAAGGGTAATCCTTATAAAGTGGCGCCACCCAGGTTCCAGGTAATCTTACAAGGGGATATTATATGATATTATAATAGTGTTGCGATGGTGAAATATTAAGAAACACTTGTGTGGGTCTAGTGGTCAAACACCTACAGCCAACATAAATTTACTGTATTCGATCACGAAACAAAAATTGGGCGTTAGCCAAAACAACCTAGACAACCATGTTTTGGCCAACGACAATGGAGACTTAATCAATGTTGACTTAGCTAGTGTTAGACAACAACCACGTTTCTTTTAATCAACCTTGCGCAGCAAAGATAGCACAGTAATAAACAAATATGCTGACTTGACGTGACCAACAGAAATGGAATTTAATGTCAAATGATAAATCAAACAATGAACTGGCTGGTGGTTTCTAGAAAATCTGTTGGATCCTTCATGTATTTGTTTGATTTTGTTTGTACTTGTCGATTTGTCCATTCTTTGTTTATAGGTTTCTGTTCCCAAAAACCCATGGTTTCAGCGAAGTTGAAAGCGCCCAGCCAGAGGTGTTGATGGCCTATTGCATCCGGACGAGTCCTATGGAAGTGGTGCCTCGTAGCGGCGTAGCGTACCCCGTTTGCCATGCTTAATTCAACATGAACTGAGAGATTTGGGGGTACCTTTTCTTGACACAAACGCACATGTATGATATGAAAATTTATATATTACAACATATATATATATAATATCATATATATATATAATATCATATATATATATATAATTGTGCAAAAGCATTCAATGCATGCGCGCGTGTGTGTGTTCCACAAACTGCAGTGCATTGTGTTGCTTAGCGTTTCATCACAAACAACAAAAATCTCTTGGATTGACAATCCACAACAGGGATGATATTGTGATGCCAAAGAGCCCAAACTTTCTGTAAAATTGGCAAAATTCAATCAAGTCCACATTCTGACATGGGAAAAATCATGTTAAACCATGGCCGATGCTAGGGGTACCAAAGTTTGGGACATGAAGTGACACCCCTTGGCGGCCCTGTGGTCGCCTGGATGTTGGTTTTCTAGACTTCGCTTGGATGCCTTGGTATCCCCTGCTGTTCAGATTTTTCAACTCAAGATATGGGGGTTTCTTATCATGTGGGATCCCCAGTCGCCACCATGGGTTTGAAGTCACTAAGTCATGGTCAGGATGGTCAGGACCTGAATGATTTACGGGTACTCGTAGCATCACGACGTCTCGGAAGCATCTATATCTCTTCGTCATGTTCCCCCCATTTGGAAATTCATAGGTCGACTTCATCATACTTCACCCTCTCCAGGATAGGGCCTGGTGGTTCAACCCCGCCACTGAAAGCCCAAATATCCATGGCACTGGGACATCGTAGAGGTCAAAACTTGGCTCTGATTTGGGCTCTGGAATCCCTGTCGTAACACGCGGCCTGAGTCTGAGGGGACTTGGGTGCCTTGAGCGCCCACTATCACTAACCTTTCCAGAAAAGAAAACATACCGAAGCCACATTGCCAATGATCATGCTTGTTTGTCATTGCCTGGGGATGAGAAACAGATGAGAAAGGGACCGAGAAAGGGATCTAGCACACTGAGCCTTTCATGCGTACAGTAAATTGAAACCCTTAGTAGGAATTCACATGTGCAAGCTATGTTCCAAAAACTTTGCCAAGTACTTGAACAGCTGGATAGACTCCACCAAGCTAAGCACATCAACTAACCTCTTTCGCTGGAGGGATGTGCCATGCTCGCAGCGTTTTCAGATGTTCCACTGGAAATCGCTCTGGCGAATCTGTGGACGACACTGTCAGCTCTCCAAGGCTCCGTTGTTCCTCTTCTTCGCGACCGTCGGGTCGCTCTGGTGTCACCACATTATCTTTGATGTTCCGAAGACTGGTGAAGCAACAGATTCAACCGCTTTTTGGAGCACTTCTTTCCCGATTTTTAATCTGACCAATCTCAGCTGGGTCTCCGAAAGCCAAAGCCAGAAAGCGACGGCCTTTGCGGTTTCACGCAGGTCCTGGCCTTTCGCTGAGGAGTGGAATCCCCGAATCCAATTTCAGGAGCTGATTGAAATGGTGAACGAGACGGAGACAGACGAGGACGAGACAAATGAAACGACGCCGATGCTCCAATCTTTGTTGCTGCGGCTGGGTGCTTGTTAAAGAAAAGCTTATAGTATATTTTTCTCCAGCTATATATTATATTATATTATATTATATTATGTTATATTATATTACAGTATATTATATTATGTTACATTATATTATATGATATTATGTTTTATATTGTATTATACTATATATCATATTATATTTTATATATGATATTATATAATATTATATTATATTAATGTAGGATACAGATTAGTGTAGGGCCCCCCCCCCTCCCCCCTCAACAAATTTAGGATACACAATAGTGTGGAAATTACAAGGGACCGGGCCGGGGTACACAATTGTGTGGAATCAAAAAAAATGATAGATTTCAATTTACTTTGAACTGATTTCAATTTACTTTGAATTGATTTCAATTTACTTTGAATTGATTTCAATTTACTTTGAATTGATTTCAATTTACTTTGAATTGATTTCAATTTACTTTGAATTGATTTCAATTTACTTTCAATTTACTTTGAATTGATTTCAATTTACTTTGAATTGATTTCAATTTACTTTGAATTGATTTCAATTTACTTTCAATTTACTTTCAATTGATTTCAATTTACTTTCAATTGATTTCAATTTACTTTCAATTGATTTCAATTTACTTTCAGTTTACTTTCAATTGATTTCAATTATTTCAATTTAATTACGTTCAATTGATTTCAATTTGCTTTCAATTGATTTCAATTTACTTTGAATTGATTTCAATTGATTTCACTTTACGTTCAATAAATTTTCAATTGATTTCAATTGTTTTCAATATACGTTCGATTGATTTCCATTTACTTTCAATTTACTTTCAATTGATTTCAATTGATTTCAATTTACTTTCAATTGATTTCAATTGCTTTCAATTTACTTTCAATTGATTTCAATTTACTTCCAATTGATTTCAATTACTTTCAATTGATTTCAATTGCTTTCAATTGATTTCAATTGATGTCAATTTACTTTCAATTGATTTCAATTTACTTTCAGTTTACTTTCAATTGATTTCAATTTATTTCAATTTAATTACTTTCAATTGATTTCAATTGATTTCAATTTACTTTCAATTTACTTTCAATTGATTTCAATTTACTTTCAGTTTACTTTCAATTGATTTCAATTGATTTCAATATACTTTCAATTGATTTCAATTTACTTTCAATTGATTTCAATTGATTTCAATTTACTTTCAATTGATTTCAATTGCTTTCAATTTACTTTTAATTGATTTCAATTTACTTTCAATTGATTTCAATTACTTTCAATTGATTTCAATTTACTTTCAATTGATTTCAATTTACTTTCAGTTTACTTTCAATTGATTTCAATTTATTTCAATTGATTTCAATTTACTTTCAATTGATTTCAATTTACTTTCAGTTTACTTTCAATTGATTTCAATTGATTTCAATTTACTTTCAATTGATTTCAATTTACTTTCAGTTTACTTTCAATTGATTTCAATTTCAATTTAATTACTTTCAATTGATTTCAATTGATTTCAATTTACTTTCAATTTACTTTCAATTGCTTTCAATTTACTTTTAATTGATTTCAATTTAATTTCAATTTACTTTCAATTGATTTCAATTTACTTTCAATTGACATCCCATACCCGCGGACCCACAGTGCTCCTGGCCACACATGCCAGGCAAAGGCGGTACCGCCCCGCCGGATTAGCTGTCTGCCGCTGCACGCAAAGTTGGTTTGCCGGATCCTCAGAGTATTCAAAATACGTCCTGTTTGGACATCGCCTCCCTGTTCATTCGCCAGGGCTTTGGAACTTGGAACAGCTTGTTCCATCGACGCCAAACCCTCTGCTACCAGAGAACGGTGCAGCTCTGGTAGCACAACTGGCGCGGGCCTCAGCCCGCTAACCGCAAAATCAGAGAGCGGCAAGGGCGACGCGCACCGACTTGCGCCAACCGAGGCGCAAGCCCTGGGTGTCTTCAAGGATGCAGTCCAAGCGTGGCTCCCCGAGCTGCACGCCTGGCTGCTCCTGAAGCCGGTGCATCCGGCCCTGGATGCGCCAACGGCCGAGGCCGATGAAACTAGATGAAACACACAAAAAGAAAAAACAACAGACAGTCAACGCTCCGCCGTGCAGGCAACACGGGTGGCACGGCAGGCAGAAAAACGGGCTGAGAAAAAACGGTTGGAGGAGGAGAAACAAGCAGAGGCTCGGCCGGCGGAAGAAGCTGTCCTGTCGCGAATGCAGCCAGCCAGCGGATGCGGCGCCGCGGCAGGCGAAACGAAAGAGCCAAGCTGAGAAGAACAAAGCCCGCAACAAGAGGCGCAGAGAGTTGCGCCAAGAAGCACGCCAAAGCCAGGACCCTGAGGCGCGCGGGAAAATCGGGAGAGCCCGAGACGCCCGACGCGTCGCCGACGCAAACGCCAGGTCCGGCTCGCACGCGTGGCCGCCCTGGAGAAAGACAGGAAAAGGAAAGCCCAGAGCTCAGCTGCGCCCCCACGAGAAAAGAAAGAAAGCAAGGAAAGAAAGAAAGAAAAAGAAAGGAGAAAGGAAAGAAAGAGAAAGAAAGAGAAAGAAAGAAAGAAAGAAAAGAAAAGAAAGAAAGAACGAAAGAAAGAAAGAACGAAAGAAAGAACGAAAGAAAGAAAGAAAGAAAGAAAAAAAGAAAAGAAAGAAAAGAAAGGAAGAAAAAAGAAAGAACGCAAAGGAAACACGAAAAAAGAAGAATTTGGCGAGAGCTTGACGCATCACTAAGGCGGACAAGGGTAAAAAAGCTGGAGAAGACCAACACGCTTTCCCAGAGGCAGAGGCCCCCAGTCACTCCTTGCCTCCGGGCTGATTGGTCTTGTTCTGGCAGGTGCCAGCCCCACCGCCGCGGAGGCTACCCACGGTCTTCTCCTCAGTCAGACCGACTTCAACCGACGGAGAAAAAGGAAAGCACCTAAAAACAAAAAACGTGGACAGATTGCTGACACGGAAGCATCACGCGATGGATAGAAATAGCAACGCCTCGTACATCCCGAGGACGAGGAAGTAGACGCCGAACTGGCTGTGCCGGGCTTAGCAATAGAGCGCTGGAAAGAGAGAGACAAGTAAGGAGCGAGAGAGAGAGAGAGAGAGAGAGAGAGAAAGAGAGAGAGAGACGAAAACAGACCTCGACACAGACACACAAACAGCCGCCAAACGATCTGCGTATACGCAGCCAACCAACAATGCCAGGCCGAGTACGAGCGTCTACAATGGGATAGATTGAACCCCATAGAATTCCTCTAGAAATATCATAGAAACATCACGGAAATACCTTGGAAATCCCACAGGAATCCAATAGAAATCCCACAGGAATCCAATAGATACCATAGAAATCCCATAGGAATCCAATGGAGATCCCATAAGAATACCATAGAACCCCCATAGCATCCCTTCAGAAATCCCATAGAAATCCTCCAGAAATATCATAGAAACATCATGGAAATCCCATAGGAATCCCATAGAAATCCAATAGTAATACCATAGAAATACCATAAAAGAAAAAAAACTTTAGCAAAGGAAAAGGTAAAGGGAATGTTTGAAGAAAAAAAATCACCCCAGGAAGCAGCTGGACACAATAGTGAACCCCCCAAACAAACATACTATTGTGGATCAGGGTTGCTCATGGGCTACCCCCTTGAAAAATTGTTTGAGTGATGTTTTTTTAATTGGGTTTTAATAAGGCATCATATATTTTGGGAAATTAGGCGTTTCTGAGAATTTCAAATGAAAGAAACTAATTAAGAAAGTTTAGGAAGTAAAAGAAAAACTTTAGCAATGGAAAAGGTAAGGGGATTGTTTGAAAAAAAACATCACCAGAAAGCATCTGGACACAATAGTGTACCCCCCAAACAAACCATACTATTGTGGATCAGGGTTGCTCATGGGCTACCCCCTTGAAAAATTGTTTGAGTGATGCTTTTTTTTTAAAAAAAATGGGTTTTAATAAGGCATCATATATTTTGGGAAATTAGGCGTTTCTGAGAATTTCAAATGAAAGAAACTAATTAAGAAAGTTTAGGAAGTAAAAGAAAAACTTTAGCAATGGAAAAGGTAAGGGGATTGTTTGAAAAAAAACATCACCAGAAAGCATCTGGACACAATAGTGTACCCCCCAAACAAACCATACTATTGTGGATCAGGGTTGCTCATGGGCTACCCCCTTGAAAAATTGTTTGAGTGATGCTTTTTTTTTAATTGGGTTTTAATAAGGCATCATATATTTTGGGAAATTAGGCGTTTCTGAGAATTTCAAATGAAAGAAACTAATTAAGAAAGTTTAGGAAGTAAAAGAAAAACTTTAGCAATGGAAAAGGTAAGGGGATTGTTTGAAAAAAAACATCACCAGAAAGCATCTGGACACAATAGTGTACCCCCCAAACAAACCATACTATTGTGGATCAGGGTTGCTCATGGACTACCCCCTTGAAAACTGGTGTGAGTGATGCTTTTTAATTGGGTTTTAATAAGGTGTCATATATTTTGGGAAATTGGGCATTTCTGAGACTTTCAAATGAAAGAAAATAATTAAGACAGTTTAGGAAGTAAAAGAAAAACTTTGGCAACGGAATAGGTAAAGGGATTGTTTGAAAAAAGACATCACCCCAGGAAGCATCTGGACACAATAGTGTACCCCCCAAACAAACCTCACTATTGTGGATCAGGGTTGCTCATGGACTACCCCCTTGAAAAATTGGTTGAGTGATGTTTTTTTTTAATTGGGTTTTAATAAGGTGTCAAATATTTTGGGAAATTGTGCATTTCTGAGAATTTCAAATGAAAGAAACTAATTAAGACAGTTTAGGAAGTAAAAGAAAAACTTTGGCAACGGAATAGGTAAAGGGATTGTTTGAAAAAAGACATCACCCCAGGAAGCATCTGGACACAATAGTGTACCCCCCAAACAAACCTCACTATTGTGGATCAGGGTTGCTCATGGACTACCCCCTTGAAAAATTGGTTGAGTGATGTTTTTTTTTTAATTGGGTTTTAATAAGGTGTCAAATATTTTGGGAAATTGTGCATTTCTGAGAATTTCAAATGAAAGAAACTAATTAAGAAAGTTTAGGAAGTAAAAGAAAAACTTTAGCAAAGGAAAAGGTAAAGGGATTGTTTGAAAAACACATCACCCCAGGAAGGCAGCTGGACACTATAGTGCGCCCCCCAAACAATCCATACTATTGTGGATCTGGTTATAATTTTCTGTGGAAGGACATTTGGACATTTCAAATGATCAAGTGGGAAACAAGCTAAGAAAGTAAAAGGAAAAAACGTTAAAATGTTTGAAAACAAACAAAAAAGGAAGAAGCTGACACAAGACACAATAGTGTACCCTGACACAATAGCGAACCCAACCTTATATTATAAAATTTATAAAATGTTTAAATTGTTAAATTAAACGTTGAATATATATATATATATATATATTTCAAAAAACATAAAATAAAAAATGTAATGTTCAAATTGTTTATTTAAAAGTTGAATATAAATATATATATATAAATATATATATATATAAATAAATATATATATATATATAAATAAATATATATATATATATATAAATATATAAATATATATAAATAATTTATTTAAATGTAATGTTTAAATTGTCAAATTAAAAATTGAATGTATTTTTTAAAATGTAATTATCAAAATTATCAGATTAAACAAAAACATAGAAAATAATTTAAAACAATTTAAAAAAAATAAAAAAAAATAACAAAGAACTGAAAAAATACTCCAAAATCCTGTGGACACAATACTGTACCCCTCCATCATTTCCAAGGGTACGCAATTATTTTGGAGTCTGTGGACACAATTGTGTATCCCCACACTAATCTGTATCCAACATTATGTTATGTTATATTATATTATATTTTATTATAGTATAGTATAGTATAGTATAGTATAGTATGTTATATTATATTTTACTATACTATACTATGCTATACTACTATGTCAATATATGTGGTATATCATTATTACAACGTATAACGTTATACAAGAAATTCTTGTCCATAAAGGTCCATTAAAAAAATCCCCACTTGACTTTCAACCAGGTGGGTGTTTTGTGCCGGGCAATACCGTGAATGTGCGTGCTACGGAAAGATCCGTTGGGGCATGGATCAGAACTGGGTCTACATCTCTCCTGCCATTCCGTCAGTGGCGCTGCGGATCCAATGTCAGATCGGCAAACAGCCCGGGCTACCTGAACTGGTCGACATGAAACCCGGAGATCCCTCAAAACATTGCGAATGCCAGGCGAGGAATGGCCAAAATTCATAAAGTTCATTGGGTTTATGATTCCTTATGCTAGCTGATTTATACCTACGGTTTATAGATATTTGATGTGATTTACACATATGTTTGAATGATTTTTGGGACTATGAACTATGACCCATTGTAAATTCGAGCCAGCAACAAAGAAAGGGATGACCTGGGATTTTTGAGGTGAATAGCTCCAGTCGCTTTTTCAAGTCCATCAATCTTGCAGCGCTGCCCAAGAGTGTGCGGGAATATTTACAACCTGAGGAGGCCTCCAACTGCCAGAAACTCTCAGAGGACAAGAGCACCTGTGGTCGCCTCTTGTGGCCCAGTTTGCAAGGCCTTTGCGACCCGAACTGGACGGAGGTGGCGCTGGGCACTAAGGCGTTATCCGCCAAGAAGATGCCAGGCTCCATCAAGAGCTTCATCGCCACGAAATTTGCGAAGAACTACAGGCGCTTCTACCCAGGTGGGACTGGAAATCCTGACTCCAAATCCGACAACAGATCGCAAGCCAGTAATACCTAGCCAGTAGCCACATCTGACAACGTGAATTTGTGCATGTTCAACGGCCCTTTTTTCATCGACTTGAGATATTCCAAACATCCACCGAGCTGGAGAGATGGAATATCCACCTTGAGATATCCCACCTAGTACATCTACGTGGTCAGCAACCCCAGTGAAAAAGTCCCCAAACTGGGTTATACCATGATTATAATGATTATACATTTTTTTAATTGAATTGCTAACCAGTTGTATCCCTTTTTTGGGTCACGAACTGCCCTTGGCACCCTTGGCGCAGGCGCAGGCGGCTGGCTCCGACGTGCCTTCGTCAGTTATTTTGCTGGTCCCTTGGAGGGCAGCGACTCTGAAGCCATGGAGATCTTGATCGACTCCGTTCATCGTTTTTCGGTCTATCCCATTGTGGTGCTACATGGTGGCATTGCCACGCCATTGCAGCTGGCTTGGAGTCTTAGAGATTTTGTTGATGATTTGACTTGAATGGTATTTATTGGGATTTGTGGATGTTATCTATATTTGTTCATGTCAAGTACAAGCATACCCTATGGTAAACTGATATATAGCTATGGAACATCATGAAGATCACCATTTTTATAGGGCAATTCACGATAAATGGGTCATTTTCCATAGCTATGTGAGTTTCCCAGATGGTAGATGGGCATTTCATGACATTTCTCGGATCTACTTGCCTCAACGTCAAGCTTAAATGGAAGGCATTGGAACACCAAGATTTTCCCGCGCCTGATCCTTCTCAGCATGGCCGAACTTCCTGATTTTGTGGGCTTCAGGGCCAGCCTTCTGGCAGCTGCAGTCATCAGTCCCTCGCAAACTCAGCAGACATTTGGACCCACAAAGGACCAACAAAATATATCAAAATATGTACTGTAACACAAATAGTTAGTACACATATTCTAGACTCATTTGGGTATGGATCAATACCTATTAATACAATTTTTAGTGGGATGAACATCCATTTACCAGCTATTTTGGGGTTCACCAAGGGTACAAGGTTTTGACACACTGCCATTTTTGTTTGTCTAGGTATTGATTAAGCCAGCTTTGCAGCCCAACACCTCTGGGGTTCTAGGTTCCGATCCGGCGCTTTTCAGGTTTGGCAACCAAACGATGACAGAAACCCCCAGACCCAGAGATTGAAACCCAACAGTGACAGGGATTGACATTTACTGCAACCGTAACCAATAAGTATCAAGAACTAATGGACATTCATACTATATTAACTGGATCAAACGCCTGGCTGGAAAGACTATGTATGATTACAGTATGTACTTTACGTTTTGCTACAAGTGGGGATCTGTTACTAACTTATTTGGGAATACTATATGATATTCTAAGCCATATTGAAATGGGATAGCGTTCGAAGTAACTTAACCACCCATGGTTCAACCTGGTGTCTAGGTCATGTCGAGACCGGCATTCTGCTGACCCAGAATTCCTGGGTTTTTCCCGGCATCGATCACTTCTTTGGCGCCACCGAGCGGGAGGTGACTGAGGCGTATCCGTATCCCCTGATGCCAGTGCATCATTTCAACAAGGTGACACCTGAGGTTTGTTGAAGGTGCATGGTTTTTGGATGTTTTTGGCTTATTTTCGCAACGGGAAATTGGCTTTAAGGTGACTTGAAAGGTGGCTGATTTTCCGAATGGGAGATCCAAGGTGAAGCACGATGAGAGCTACCGAAAACATCTCTGTAGTCCTCGTTCCTCGTGTGAGTTTTGTTGCTGTTTTTTTGGCTGATTTGAAGGCGATTTTTGTTGAAATCATGTTTGAAATCATGTTCCCCCCTTTTTTAGAAGGTATTTTTTAATTATGTTAACTATCAATGGTCAGGAGGGAGCGATTCGGAGCTATAATTAGGTAATAGTTTCCCAATCTCCTCATCGTTATCAGACATGTACTCTTTTCATGTCATCTATATATAATTATACAATTATATACCCTCTGGTAATTTATAACTATGGAAAATCACCATTTTTAATGGGAAAACTCACTATAAATGGCCATTTTCAATAGCTATGTTAAATTACCAGAGGGTATCTACCCTGGAACTTCGGCACCAGGTCAGGGCTGCATTGCTCCCATGCGTTGGAACCACTTGGGGGTGCTCTGCTGGGCTCGTTCCGCCCTGCCCTTCCTGGCCGCCGTGCTCCGATCCCTGCTGCGCGACGAGACCTACGAGGTGAACGCCGTCCGGTCGCAACGGGTGCCGTTGAGGGTGCGACGGACCGCGGATCTGGAGACCTTGATGAATGTGGCTTTGTGGAAAGCAGGGGCATACAAGCAGCTTGGGTCAGGATTAAGTGGAATGAGTTGAAGTTTCATGTGTTTTTTTCCACGGGAATTGCGCAAGATGATCCAAAACTGAGGCAACACATGTTCATGGATGTTTTTTTGGCTAGTTAAACAATGTTAAACCATGTAAAACAATGTTAAACCATGTTGAACAATGTTAAACCATGTTGAACAATGTTAAACCATGTAAAACAATGTTAAACAATGTTGAACAATGTTAAACAATGTTCAACATATCTACAATCTTCAAGGCAGTGGTGCAAGATGCATGTGTCTGAAGCGGATGTGGAGAGATGGCTTGAGTTGCCAGGAAATAGTTCTGATTGTGGCAATCGGTCCGTCTGCAATCCAGCGACCAATGACACGATTTTCTATCCTTGGGGCGTCCCCAAAGTGGTTGTTTCATCAGCCACCTCGAAGGTTCCTCGAGCCCGGGCTTTTTTAAGTGCTGTGGAAGAGAGATACCGGCGAGGAGACCTGCCAAATCCCATTTTGTTCCAGAAGACCTATCGAAATGAAACTGAGGCCAAGAAAGATTGGCCGCAGATCAATTGTCTGCTGGGATTGTAACAGCGTCTTCAGCGCCAAAGCCAGGACCCAGAGCCTCTGGTCACAGGTTGGCGTCGAGGTCAAAATGGGACCGGTGCAGTTTCCGAGTTTCAAACAGATAAATGGTCAACGACCGTGGTGTTCAAATATGGCACTGGTTTGCTGGGGGGTTGCCCTTCAAGCGTTGAACTGCCAGAAGGAGCCAAGTGACTGTTGGATGATGTTGGCAGAAGTGACGTGACTATGCTATGCTTCACTTTGCAGAATGCGAGATCTGAAAATTTCAATTGCCCCATAGTTGAGTATGTGCTATGGGTATATGGGTAAAGACACGAAGACGCCCCCCGCTCGATACGAACAATTCCGTTTTGGGGAACAAACAATACGAAGATCTGGTCATTTTGCAGAGGTCATCGCAGGTCACAGGAATCAAAGATGCTGGGAGGGTATTGGTCTATTGGTCTTCATCTTCAATGCGGTTTTTAACCACCATTGATAGAAATTTGATGGAATTTGCAGGTGTATCTAGAGAGAGTTTCTCACTGTATGGATGTATATGAATATGGACATGTCAAAGTCACAATTCTGAACCGTTCATCAACCAGCGCCCGTCTCAGGGGTTTCAACCGGGGTTGGGCCACGCGTGGCATTTGAAAGTACAAGCTCCTACCAACTTCACTGGTTGATTGTTTTCTCAGCAGAAGGAAGGGGGAAACTGCACAGTACAAGAACATTCTCTTAGAGTCTAAGAGCAGGTAGAACTCAGGTACAGCGGTCCTTCCTTTGAAAATGCGCATGAAAATGCAACAGCCAAGGTGACTTTTGGGTATAGCTACATGCCAATTTCCGCAGTGTTGGTGCCTCAGTCGTTTTTTCCAGGATTCCACGGAGATGATTTTCATGCAAGGTCACACTTTGGGGGCGTTCTGCAATGTGGCCCCCCCAGGTATAAGTTGGTTTATAAACCCCATTAGCCATATAATATCCATATAATATATAGAGATATATAGTAGTTTACAAGATGTTTTAAGTTATAAGTTATAAGTATCATAAACCATAATTGGTGATTGGCATTATATTCACCAACTTAGCTTCAACGGGAGCCCCACATGATATTTTGTGGTGGACCCATGCTGCGAAGTACCCGTACATCAGGCTCAGCTATTTTGCATTCAACAGGTTCTCTCCTCAGTGGGTGCTCGGGTCCTGCCACGGAAGGACGGCAGAAATGATCGAGAAATGGGCCAGGCCGGGCCAGAATATCTCAGAAATCGGCCTAGGAAATTGGGTATCCCCCATGGCTATGGAAACCCCCATCTTCATCAACTTCTGGATATCTATGAAATTATGAATATCTATCAATATTGCGGATATGATTCACTATTTATTCTGCTTGGTGGTTTGGAACATGAATTTAATTTTCATAGTTGGGCTGATTCGATCCAATCTGACTTTCACATTTTTCGAGGGGGTGGCTTGTATTCCACCAACCAGACAGTATATATATATATGTAATCCCCATATTCTATGGATATTCCCACTAATGTTGGTAAAACAATGTCATAAACCATCCCCTCTGGTGGCAAGTTGATGACCACAGAAATTCGCAAAACGCGAACTCGGTAGCCGGGCCAGAGAAGTGATGTTCCTAGCGGTTGAACAGCTCGTCGGCCAACAGACCTTTTCTGGTTGGTTGTTGGTTGGTTGGTTACTATTATAGTTATAAATTTATAAGCCAATATAAACCATAGTTGTTTCAGTTAAAGTTATAATCCAAATAATTACTGGTTGGTGGTTTCAAACATGGCGTTTATGAATTTCCATATCTTGGGGATGTCATCATCCCAACTGTCACAACTGACTATCATTTTTTCAAGATGGTTTTAACAACCACCAAACAGTTTTACAAGATATTCTTTTATCACCTATAGGTTTTCACATCAACCCTTTGTTGAGCAGTTTTCTTGTTCCCGTTACCTGAGGCGTTATGGACGACTGGAATGGCTCTCCGTCTCTTGCATCAGCAGGAGATTCGGGAGATGTGTCCAACAAATCGCCAGAGTGTATCTTAACCATTACCCATGACCGAAAAAAACATCAGGAAACCTTAATTGTACAACTTCACCTCTTGGATCAAGTCTTCATACCTGGAACGTCCATATTTTCATCACTATTTTTCTGCAGGGCTGAGACCATCAGACTTCGCAGTGGTGTGTTTTCGAGGCGAAAGATGCTTGGGGAATGTTCTAGGGATATACCAAGAGATTGGTGGTTCAATCAAGGTGTACACATATACGTATACATAATTCACGATAATTCTATACAAATATAATATGTATATATATATACACACACGGAGTATATGTTATATACAATATATATATATTATACATCAATCATCATATGTGTATATAATTATACATATATGAATATGACATGTATATGTGTGTATGTATATATATATATATGTACATATTGTTTAAATAGTTTCACCATGCAAAACATGGATCATGATCCACAGTCCACAGGTTGAAGCGTGACCCATCGGACCAACCACCGAGGTTGGAATGCTCTCCTTGGGCGTCTTCGCTTTCGTCCTGTGGGGCGGCCTTTGCCAAAGAGCGGTGGAAACATCGGAAACGGTAAGCGGTGAACGGTTTTTCAAGGGCCCCACGTTGTATGTGTTAATATAATTTAATATATATGTATAATTATATATATACTCTATATCTCTGTAAATATATATATATATATAAACTCTACATATATATATATATGTATATATGATTTGCTCTTCATTAAACTAACATAGCTATGCAAAAGCCGCCATGAATGATATGAATATTTTTGAATGTGAAACTAATGGGTTTTCCATAGCTACGTTAGTTTGCTGGAGTGTAAGTCTATCGCCCTCAACAGAAAAATAACTTGAGAGCTTTATATACGTGCCCAGCTTGACCCTTAGACACTGACAGGACTAGAAAGAATGTACATGTTCTCCTATATGGTGATATTGATGCATTTGTTTGGTGACAACACATTACTTATAGCACACAGGAGTGCTTTTATGACTTTTGCATGCTTATGTTATGTTTGAGAAATCCATGTTTAGTCATGTTGGAATACATGCAACTCTGACATTGCCCTCACGGGCCGGCCATCGAAGGGGGATATTCAGTTGGAACAAGTGTAGCGGTGCCATTTATGAAACAAGCTAAAATTGGTGTGTCTTCTTTTCCAGCATGCCATAGTAGAGTACCACAAGTTCATTGAACTTCTATATATACATATATACGCAAGGGAGCCGTTCCCAAATCATAGGAGGTGCTGAGCAGGCAACAGTGTCAAACATCAAGATTTGAATGATTCATATCCCAATAATTCCCAATGTGGGTATGGATCAATACCTATTAATACCATGTTTAGGGGAATGAACATCCATTTACCAGCTATTTTGATGTTCACCAGGGGTACAAGGTTTTGACACACTGCCATGTAATTCACAAGAGTTGGATCATGTCATGTCAACTGTGGACTAGTTCTGTTGGATCAACTCAAGGCACACACATAGACATGGATGAAATCGCTTCACTATGGATCTCCGAACGATGGTTATCTATGGTTGACATTGAAGATCACCTTTATTTATCATGACCTTTTTTAGTATATATATAATAGTATTATATATATATATGATAATAATAATAATAATAATAACAATAATAATAATAACAATAATAATATATAATAATAATAATATATATATACTTTTATTCCTACAGCTTGTCATCGATCACCTTTAGTTGATGGGTTTCACCTCTTTTTTCTTCGCCGAGGTTGCGCGAGGAGTCTCGTGAAGGCAAAGAACTCCGGCTCCTTGGTCGACTTCGCGACTGGATGGTAAAAACCCAATTTTTTGGGGATGGTAAACACCCTCCGGTCATCACGCAATGGCAATAAACAATCCATCTTATACATATACATATATATATATACATATATATATATATATACATATATATACATATATATACATATATATATATATGTACATACATATATGTATATATATATGTTTTTCCCAACTATAGACCTCCACTTAGTTCATTTGATTCGGCTATAGATGATTTGCCCAACTATACACCTCCATTTAGAGACATTTCCCAGCCATGTTTGGAGAGGGTAAGCTCCTGGACCTTGGGGAATGGATTTGGGGGTAGCCTCATGACTTAGGAAGCCTTCATTTGAGTTCGTATCACGCCAAAGTTTGTGATGTTCCAAAGATCACTCCACTGGTTGGTGGTTTGGAACTTAATTTATTTTTCCATATATTGGGAATAATCATCCCAACTGACTTTCATATTCTTCAGAGGGGTGGCTCAACCACCAACCAGATTTGTTCTCTGATGTTTTCTGACCGGTTGACCTTGTAGTCAGCTATTCCTCAGCCTGGCCTCACTGGAATCAGGGAGACTAAACCCCTGAAGTCACCCGACTCGGACGATATGGTCTCACCTTCCGGAGCCACAACAGTCACTTGATCTGGAAGAATCAAAGAACTATCTTAATTTCCAGATGAAATTTGATGAAACATGTTTTTTTTTTCGAATGATTCCCTTGAAATCATAATGTCATTGAATTCCGAAATCCCTTGAATCTTTAATGCTTACATGAATAAGCGAACAAAATCACTTTCTCGGGAATCTTCTCACGGACCGTCTCCCGTCCTAGAAAATCTAGGTTTCAGATGAAGGGTTTGCTGTTGGTTTTCGCCCAGATCTCAGATGTCTCGTGAGAACGGCCTGGCCCTGGGAAGGACATGGGGAAATCAAGGGTCAAGACGTTCACCTTTATGGGAAAGGTATGAACAGTTCATTGACTAATACATGTATATATTGTATACATGTACCTACATATCATCCTTCCAAACTATCAACTATGTATATGTAAATAAATATATATTATTCTCACTATTAGTAGTATTCTTCTTAATATTATTATTCCCAACTTTCCCAGATTAATGCGATGGGACATTCATTGGCTCCAGGGGGCATCTCCGGGAGTCAAGAACTCCAATGCGAACTTCACCAGGGAATGTGGTAGACCCAATGCAATAAACAATCCCTTTTTTGTCATCATTTGGTGGTATAAACCAACCATCCCCAGTTATGGCTTGTTTATGGTATCATCCAGTTATTGCTGATTATTCTACAATCATCAATTAATCATCCCAGTGGTTATTGATATTCAAACATTTTACCAACCAACCATCCAGTTATTTCTTTGATTTACTCATGCTCTTAAGCGCTGAATGCCGGGTGAAGGGTCTCCCAGATTTGGTTGATCAAAGTAACCGTGCGGCAAACATCACAAATTTATCGAACTTCAATCCCTTTGCAAATAGAGAACTTTGAAAATGAATGCGGGTTACATATGGTTACATATGCTTACATATGGTTACAGTACATCATATTTTTGTTAGATCCTAAAGGATGGGGCCCAGTTATAAGTTGGTTTCAAACCCCATCTAAATATAGTTACAGTAACCTGTTGGTTTCTAACCCCATCAGTTTTCCAACCCCAGCTAACCAACTGGGGCCCAAAAAGCGATCTCTCCCTCAGGCGTCTGTTTGTTGCAGCGCCACTGGTTCCATCCTGGCGGAGCGGGTCTTCAAAGAGAGGCCTTCGGGCCGAGCCATGCCGAGCTGCGGCCCCAACTTTGCGATGTCGTAAACTGGGGCCCACATTGTAAATATATACAGTAATGGGGATACATATATGTATATATATATATGTATATATATATATATATATATTATGATAGGGTAATTTGGGAATAATAGGGATAGCTGTATGGGGGTTCAATATGATATGGGGATACAACAAAGAATATGGGATAAGAATTGGATTCGGGGAATCATCCCCTTGGCCCCTTATCAAAATGACATATAATGTGGTTAAAACAATAATAAACCATCCCCAAGTTCACCATGAATAGGTGGTATAAACCATCAAACATGGGGTGGTTTGTTATTGTTTTACCAACATGAATGAATTATATTGAATGATGGTATATATATATATACATATGTATGTAATTAGGGTTTGCCTGAAAATAGGATACCCAAAATCCAGTGGTTTATCATAAGTTTCACCATTAAAACAGCAATTTTAAGGATATACCGTTCCCCCATTTTCAGACACGCCCATATACAATATATAGGGCAAAACTGTATAGGATAGTCTAGTTGTGGACTTCCGAACAACTGTTCTTCCGCACAAAATACGAAAGCCTTCGCCCGGGAAAAGACCAAGTGTATGGGATTACTAGCATAGTTCAGTGCTATGATCCTCCGCATATTTACGGAAGAGTGTTTCATTCGGAAGGTGGGTAGAGTTCAAGGAGAACATCAAAAAGCACGTCAATAAAGTCATGAGATTTACGTCAGATGAATCCAGACTGGTGATACAAACGGGTGTTGTTTCCGTTTGTGTTAACCAGAATCAAGCCGGTTACAGTGGCGACCTGACAAAATCGGGATCCCATTCATGCTCCAGACAGTGGCTGCTTTCAGTAGATCAGCCTGTGATCCCAAGGCTGAAATGAACTTGTGGTTCCCAAGGGTCATAGCTCATGAGGAATGTACCCTCTGGTAATGACTAACATAGCTATTGAACATGGCCATAGAAATAGTGAATGTTCCCATTAAAAATGGTGGATCTTTCCATAGTTATGTAAACGTTTACCAGAGGGTATATAGAATCTTGAGATTGCTTGGGGCTGAGGGGGATAGAACTCATGAATTTCAGCCTTCTGTGACCCCCCAGACCCCCCACTGGGAGATATCTAGAGATGCTGAGCCATCCACTTGGCGCAAACACTGGTGCTACAGTAAGTTGCTGCTTGACAAATCTAAGTTTCCTCGCAACAAGTCGAATGTGGCAAAAGTAGCCTCTGGTAAACTAATATAGCTATTGCAAATAGCCCATTTGTAGTTGATCTACCTAATTATTAAACATGGTCATTTGCCAGTTCGCAAACTCTTAGTTTACCAGAGGGTATCAATCATTCTGGGAAACAAAAAATGACGCAGCAATGCATTTTTTTCTTGAAGCTCTTACTGTAAGCATCTCCAGTCCTGGATCAACCCAGAGATGCAGCCAGATCCTGGGGAGACGCCAAGCAAGACCGGTGCGGCGTCCGAGCCTGGTGGTGAGGAGGGAGCCACCAGGTGGTGCCCTATCCTTAGTGAAGTTTGTCGATATGTATACGTATATATATATATATATACACATAGCTATAGGTCAACTATGGTTAATATATATATATATATATATACATTTTTTTATATAATTATATGTATATATATATATTAGGTACCTATAAACAGAAAAAATGGTAGGCACCATATCGCAAGGAGTGTAACACGGCTATCCATTTTCCATCATATTACCTGGCGAGCCAGTAGGAGCTTTTTTTTTGTTTCCACATGACCTGCCAGGGGCTGACGCACCTCCCAAAACCATTGGTTTCATAGTAAAATATACTGAAATGGTTTAATGACTTAGATGATTTGTGATGATTTGGGGTAGTCCTATTTGAGGAAACCTCCACATGTTCTGACTAAATAGTCTTCTGCCAATTTGTTTTGTTTTTTGTGTTTAAAATCTGCACATGTTGTGGGTCATTCATACGAGTGCCTCTTGCAATCTCTTCTTGGACCATTTGGACCAAAAAAGGCAGCACTCAAAATTGCCCATTATTAATTGGTAATGACTAACATAGCTATTGAACATGGCCATAGAAATAGTGAATGTTCCCATTAAAAATGGTGGATCTTTCCATAGTTATTTGGATCCCCATGATATCCCCATTTTTTTTCGCATCAACAAAATGGTGGGATAAATTCCAGCGCATCGCTCAGGTTTTACAGCATGAAATTCCACCTAGACCTTACGGCCACCTTTGTGGCGGCTCCTTGGATTGAAAAAAAACGCTGTGTTTGACGAGTGAAAGACATGCCGTCGTTGGCTTTTTGTTAGTGCTCTATATGCAGATTCCAAAAAGGACTATGCCATGAGAATATAGTGAGTATGAGTTCTTGATGTATTTACCTAAACATCTTGACATCACGAGTCAACCAAATCGTGACTTTGGGGCTGAGTTGGCTTGGCCCATGCAGTAAAAAAACGATAGGCCAAAACACGGTGAAGAATCCAACGCCACAAGTACATACAAGTACTAAATGCTGTATGTATATATGAAAATCCTTGACCTATCATGATAGGGTCGAACACATCACCAGGGGTTCTGGAACTGTGTTCAATACTGGGAAGGTAGCCGACCCTGCTGACCTTTATCCTTTGCTGCTTTTTTTCAGCTGCATTCCTGGGTGTGCTGGCGGTGAAGACCATTTCCAGATGGAACATCCACCATTTTGGAAAATCCACTGGGGAAATTACGTATGTATATCACACATACAGCATCTATATATATATATATACATATATATATACATACATACCTACCTACCTACCTACCTACCTACATACATACATACATACATACATACATACATACGTCATACATACATACATCTTTCTACCTGCCTCAAACTCAAAGAGATCTTAGTTGGGAGATTCACGGGACATACCTCACTTACTAGCCGGTTACATCCCAACTGCAGTTGAACATCCACTATCCCAATTGATCTCCAAGTTTGGGTGATGTTGCCAAATTCTATGTGTGAAACCCCAAATTACTAGCACCTCAGATATCTCAGTTGTTATCAGCCATTTCTTGTTGCTTGGTTGCTTGCTAACCGCAGGCGCTTCTTTGGGCATTGCCACTGAAACGCGTGGTGGGGGCGGCAGGGTGATTGAACTGGATGGAACTCGCGGGGGTTGGGCATCATCAGTCCTCCCGGTGTATCCAAAGGCGAACAAATGGGACTTCTTTTTGGCGTTGGAACTGCAGTCAATTCCCAGCAAGGATCGCAGGTTCTCACCTGCACTTGAACCTGCTTTTTGAGGAATCCCTGAAATTTCTCCAGAGTTGTTGATATTCCACCTCAAATATATATGTATTCAAACATATTATATACATATTATATACATTCAAACCATTCAGGACTAAACAGCTAAGATATCTGCACCTTGGGCGGCGAGCCGTGCTGGGCCTGAGGTGGTCTTTCGAGAGTTCATGCTTCGCTGGGAAAAGAGTGAGGACGGCCCCAGCGCCCAAAAACGGTCCTCGGATGCGTGGTGTATAACCGATGAGGTTCATCCCATATTTCATCCCATATACAAGGTTTTTGCATGAGATTCCATTCATCTAACTGGGGGAATTAATGTATTATTTATTTATATATATATATATATCATCCATATATCATCCGGTGGGGATATTAATCAAACGGTTTTTTTGACCCATAGACATTCTAGTGGTGCTGGTACATGTCCATTATAGTATAGCTACTCCTGGTCATGTTTGGGGGTATTTATACAAGATTGTGTCGCTTAATAGAAGTGGGATCCTGATCTCAAGTGAGCCAGCGTCATCTTCCAGGAATGAATTGAAGTCTTTCGGATTTGAAAGGTCAAGGTACCCAGCTGCAAAAAGTACCAGAGTGAGGAATAGCATGAAATCATATGAACTTCAAAAGTTGGCGATGGGGTTTCATATGGTTGCATCCTGGATTCATGCGCGGTACGAAGACCTATGCATATCTTACTGGTGATGTGTTTTGGGAAGACCCCAAGCGAACGTTTGGCACCAAAAAGTTGAAGGCTTCGCCAAAGCTGGTGCCGCAGTTTTATCGTTGAGGGCATGGCAAGTGATTTTGGGGGAATCCCGGAGGACTCCAAGATCTGCATGGATCTGGATGGAAAATGGAAATCAAAGATTTTCACAGAATTCCAGGGGGATTCCCAGAGGATTCCAAAAAGGATCTTGATGTGTTTTTCTTTTTTAGTTTCTTGTGTAGCCGGAAATCTGTGAAAAAATACCTGGATATGGCCCGAGCATCACGGTTGAATTCACTCGATGTCTGAGCCAGGATTGGTTTGGCAATTGGGGTGCTTCACAGTTTCTCGGCGGTTAGGATGGATTTCATGGATGCATGGTCAAGATCGATCCATCTTGATGGATAGGTCTCAATATTTCGGGGATACCCTTTGATTTATTATAGCCAATCTGGGAACCCTATGATAAGGCCTCAATATTTGCGGTTAGTCAGGGCACTTCGGACAGCGGAAGCTTTGCACTTTGCCAGGGATTTCATTTGCCATGTTGGGTTATCGAAGCATATCGAAACATTGGTGCGGTGATGGACTAGGTCCCTGTTTTTTAACAATAACATGTCAATGTGGTTGGACATATTCTGGTTGGTGGTTTCAAACTGACTCTTTCGCTGACTATGGCGGCGTGACACCAAAAGTGGTGCAAAAGTGGTGGTTTCAAATTCAAACATTTTTTATTTTCCATAATATCTGGGATAATCAGCTAATCCTTCCCATTGACTAATATTTTTCAAGATGGTTAAAACCACCAACCAGTATTTTACGAACTCTTTGACATCTCTATGTTGATGTGATCCAATCCCACCCATCTAAAAACGTTGGCGGCCAAAGTTCGTTGGCAGCACCGGCTGCTGGTGCCAAACCATGGCGCAATATCACATATATGTGAGAAAACAACAGAAATTCCATGGTCAGGATATGTTGGGATTCATGGCTTTATACATAGGATACATGATCCGGAATGAATCGGCATCATCCTAGAAGGCGAAATCCTGCTGGGTCCCATAGTGGGATTCCATGGGATTTCGTCCTGAAACGCGGGATATACCTAGCAACTGGCGCAGGATTTCACAACTCTCCGCAGTAAACAACCATTGATTTTCTGGTTGGTTGAGGCTTCCTGGGGTTGTTTCCCTCAGTGCGCGATCAGAATTTCAAGGGCCATTTGCGACTCTCGTTGACCATCTCATGAAGGTTTAGATCCTTTCATGGTATCCACAATTTCCAGTGCATGTGTAGCCTCTTGCAGACCTCACCCGGCATCGTTTTGTACAGGACTGGTTCGTGGATTGACATATATTGGTTGGTGGTTTCAAACATGTCCATAATATATGGGATACTCCTTCCCATTGACTTTCATATTTTTCAAGATTGTTAAAACCACCAACCAGTATAGTTTGTGTTTTTCCCATTAGATTTGGAAAGATCATCCCCAAATTCACCATGGTTCGATTGGATTTCAAGCACCAAGCCAGCACTTTTGATCGAGGGATTTTCCGGGCCTCAGGAAGGATGGCTGGGGATTCAATTTGGACCTTTCGCCCGAAACAGTATCGACCAGTGCGAACTGGCCGCATGATGGATGTTAGGCTGCATTCCATCTAAAACAGCAAACGCAATTGCTCAGGGCTCTTGATCGTATCCATGATCACTAAAGGTTTTTGCATCTCATTGCACAAAGGCCTACAATGTGACCATATCAGTCGAACTCTTGTTTGCGCAGCATTGCGTAAGCTGCAACTTCAATTTAACTCACTAAGAAAGTATTTTGTGTTCCGCGAGGAATGATTTTACTCCAGCACAATGGACCTTCTGACATGGCCCCAGAAAACCAACCAAAGCATACCCAAAGCTCAGTGTGGTGGTTTTGACCCTTTGCCAAAGAGCTTTAAGCATCTTCACAGGTGTCCGCAACATATATATATATATATATATAATATGTTTTTTTGTTGATGTAAAAGTGTCCCTGGTGAAGGGCGTAGCCGTCCCTGCATGCTTTTAAAGCTATGACGAAAGATCACAAAAGGAATGGATCCTTTGGAGCTTGACTCAAACTTGAACCATTTGATTCAAAGCAGACGTGTGGGAATTGAGCAACAGCTTGCATTTTCTGTAACGTTCGGCACCGCAACCTCTTAACTAAAGAAAAGGTTCTCATCCAACTCGCAGGGAGCGGGGTGGAGTTGACTTCCTAGTCTACCACAATGGGGTCGTGAGCTTGTCCCAAACAACGATCTGCCACCGCAATGCTCGAGAGCGCACAAGGCAAGACAAATCGACCCGTCCTGGATTTTTTTCGGACAATTGGTGCCTCCAGCTTTCGCGCCCTCGCCAGTCGCCCACCAAGGTACATCATGGTAGCGGTGATGGTGGCGCATGGTTGGGCTGCTGGTGTCTTGTTTGGCAACGGGTTGCATGCATCCCGTTGCAGTTGGACTAGAAGCATACAGACGCATAAAGCATCATGATTTGATTACACAGGCATGCTGCTTGGCTTACGAACTATGAGCTATGAGGGGGAAATGTTCCTGTGGGCATACAGGTGGCCATGGAAACTTGCTGCAAGGTAAAAATAGAGACGTTTGATTGTTTACATGGGAAAATGTTGCAGGAATGATATTAATGTCATCCCCCGTGGAAACTGCGCGGATGTTGTGATGCAGGTTTGTTGTTGTTGTTGTTGCTGCTGCTGCTGCTGTTGCTGTTGCTGTTGTTGACGTTTTGTCGTTGCTGTTCAAGGCCAGTGGCTGTTGGTATGCTGCTGACTTTAGCAGAGGATCCCTTCAATTGGTGCTGCGCATGTCTCACATATGTAACATGTACTGATATGATTAATATGTGTATATCTGCGCGTGGCGCGCATCATTGACTGCAAACAACCACCGGACACATCTTACACTCTACAGTTTCGTGTTTGCATTTTTTCCTGACTTTAATCTGTGTTTTTTCTCGGCGGGCTTTGCGGCCTTATGTTTGCACATGTGTTTTATAGCACGTTGATCGCAGCAATGTTTCATGAACACAGGAAAATACGTGTGTTTTATATAGAGCCTGTCTACCTAAATGTTGGTCAAATTAACGGCCACGGTTGGCATTCGTAGTTTGCATCTTTGTGACACCCCAATCTAAACAACATATATCGAAATAGTTGTCACCCCATGTTTATGTACTGCGGGTTTGTCATGTTTCTTTTTGGTGGGCAACCAATCACATGAACAATGTAAACAACAGAAATGGGCATACAAATACAACGCAACAATTTGATTTAGATTGAAAATTGTTATTTCACCTCGATGCATCCATGTGACAATTTTCACGGCGTGCGTCCCAAATGTTTGGCAACTGTCCGAAAAAATCATCCAAATGTGTTTTGTTTTTTTTGTTTGTCGGGGAGGGTGCATTTCTTTACATGCAACAACTACATACACTGACCACTACCGTGGTTGTGATGCAGAATCAATATGAAGCAAAACATCATCAATGATAAACATTTCGTGGATTCGGACTTTGTGCAATTACTTGCATATTCGGAAACAGTAAAACAACAACATGTTGTCCTTTCAAACTAATATAAACTTTAAGTAAATAAACATAAAAAAACAACACGTAGTTGGTTTCGAGGATTTGTCTGAAAATAGGATACCCTCAAAGTTGAAGGGGTTTATCATCATATTCCCGGTTTAAATGAACAGTGTTTCTAGTGCCTGGTTCACTGGGATTCCAAGAACGTATTTTGATAATCCTCAATATATCGTTTGTTCCCGAAGCAATACTCAACCATCCACTCAAAAAAAAACAACATTTTGCTGGTCATTTTACATGTCAAAACATGTCAAAACTCTATTGAGCCAACCGGGGTTTATCAGCCACTGCTCGTTCATTTCAGGTCTCATCACCCGGGAATTTTCCACGGTGATCCGTTCCGTGGTTCAGACATTGGTGCGAAGACCCAGCCCGGTGATGGGTGACGGATGGGTACAAGGTGGTGAAGCCTAATTGGATACGCTGTTTATCACTGGGATTTACATGGGTTTATGATGGTTTATGGTGATTCCAACCTATATTCAGTGAATGAAGAAATAAAAACTGAATCGATTGAGGATGCATCATTTTGGAACATGAAAAATGATCTACTTTTATTGGTCACATATAATGACCTCACCACACTGTGGACGGATGGCCAGGGGAATGATTTTCAGGCACCTCCATGGCCGCGAAAAGTGTTGCCATCACCAAGGCGTTGTTGAGCACCTGGCTGATAGGCGGACACTGAAAGATGTGAGGTAATGTCGAGCCTTCACAATCACAACCTTGTTTATAAACCCAGCTAACTATAGTTGTGACTCTACCCTAAACCCCAGTTATCCTCCTTATAAACCAACTTACCTTGGGGGCCTAGATTGTAGGATTTGTTGGGAACCATGTACCATCAATCCTAAGAGCCAATAGGGTCTGGTTCCATGGGTCTCAAACCACTAGTCAGGATATGTACTCCACTGGTACCCCAAAATGGCAAGTTTAATGACGACAATTTTGCACCAATGAACCAGCAGGTTGATCCCCAATGATTTCCACCAATGATTTTTAGAAAGGAACGGATACAGCAGATATGGGGCATCACAGTGCCTCAAAGAGACACAATGACATGCCCTGTTGTTTTTTTTTCGATGTGTTCACCATGTATATCAATGTATATCTAAGGATATCTAGGCTAGTGGATATAGGCTGGATATAGACTTGGATGGGTGAGCATATTGTGAAAATACATATGGATGTTTCCTAAAATGGAGGTACCCCCAAATCATCCATATTAATGGGATTTTCCATCATGAACCATCCATTTAACGTTCCCGCATTTATGGAAACCTCCATATAAATTTATAACAATGTAGACTTTAATCTATAGCTGGGGGCTCCCATCTTGTTGGTAAATCCCTCACTTTTGTGAATGGTGATCTCCACAAGGTTTTGGTCTGGGGTAGCTAGCTCAGGGGCCCGCTACTTAGAGAATCATCCTAGATACTGTATTTTTTTTAAGTGTTTCAATCAGTACCCATAGCGGTCATTTAGACATATTGATACATTTTATTTATAATATATTATTATTATTATTATTGTTATTATTATTATTAATTATTATTATATATATAATACAATTAATATATATATATATATAAATATTATATTATATTATATTATATTATATTTTACTATATTAGATTATATTATATTACATTAGATTAGATTATATTCTATTATATTATATTATATTATATTTGATTTTTTTTTTGTATTATATGATATATATATATATTATATTATATTATATTACATTATATTATATTATATTATATTATATATTTTATATTATATATATATTATATTATATATATTATACATATTATACTATACTGTATATCTCCCACTGCCGAATCGGGGACTTACCCCTCTACCTATCGCGTTTGCCTTTTTAATGGTCAAAACGTCTGTTATTTTCCCTGGCTGGGGGATGGTCATCAAGGCATTCACTGGGATTCGAGACATGGTTCACATCCCCCGAAAAAAAATGTAGGTAGAGTCCCACTCATGATCGGATGACCATACGACACATACCCCCATAGCCCCATATCCCTGGCAGGGCACCCAACGGGCCACTTTGGCCAGGTGACCCTCTACAGGACAATCATCTGGATTTTCTTCAGCGCTGCGCCGCATGTCAGCAAGATATTATGGGAATAGAAAAGGAGAAAGAAGGAAAGATGCGGAAAAGGTCTCAAACCAGGATGTCAACTGGATGATATTAGATGATGCTTTTATTTTCCTTCGTAATTTCCAGACTTCCGGCTTGTTCATCTATTTGGGAGCTGCCAAGACCAACAACATGGGGGGTTGGTATATAAAGAATTGTTGTCCAACTCTCAACTATATATATATAACTCGTCGTAGCAGGGTCTGTGTTTCTTGGCATGGCGCAACCAACAGATACCAATAATGGTATTGTGAGATTGAAACGACCAGCAAAGACGGAGATACAACAGCATGGTATGACAAATGAAACAAACTACTGTAGTTGCTCGCCTGAAATGAAACCACATATAGACTGATGATCCAAAATCGACAACCCGCATTCGTTGGACAAGACATGGATACAGGCTGGTTCGACTGATCTGTAAAAATCGGAAACCACCGGAAGCCTTTTGTGATTGTTAATTTCAAACATGTTTGATCATTTTTGTATGTTCTCTTTTACTTGGCATGATGATACAAAATGACTATGATATTTCTGAACCAGCTAATAGTCTGAAAACAGTGACAAACTGACCCATTGTTTTCCTTGCAACCATGACGTTGGGCAGGATATCTTTGGAAGGTCATGAAATATCTCTGTTTTGTGACGGTGGTTGGCTGTTTTGTTTTCCTTTTTTGTAAGTACTCACTGACCTGCAGCTTTGTGTATGCCAACTAACATGTGTTATATGGATCGCTTAAAATGAACGAAACTGGACGTCCTCACAATCACTGGTTGCATCGCCGCGATCGTTGGCCATTGTTAGCCCGTGTGTGTTGGTTCTCTTCATATGTATCGCTGTTGGTGAAATGTTCAGTTCATTCATTCCCATTGAATGTGTATATGTGTATGTTTCATCTATGCGCACATTGCCATACGATTGCACATACATTGGCAAAGAAGCAACAGATGAGTGACATCCCCATTCTCAGCATGTCCGCATATATTTGACCACAATGAGAAGACATCATAGCTCCATTCAGAAAGGTCCCTTCATGGCTTCTCTACATGATTGTGATCATGGCTGCGACTTGGCTCCCATGGAAACCGATGCAGGGCTGGTTTGTTTGGGGCTTTTGAAAGAAGAAAGATGTCGAAAAGTGTTTCCAAGATGGTATAGATTGTAATCCGGGCTGTCAACTTCTCTGACTCTATCCTTTTTTTGGGTTGCTCTATAATCATGGCTAACCCCCGATGGAATTATGGCCAGGCTAGCCACAAAGAAGTGGAACTGCTAATCTCTTCCAAGTTGCTGAATCTTGAGCACTAACAATCATGAATAAGAAGGTTTATTGAACCATCTACTAACCATCTCTCTCTCTATATATATATATATATTACGTATAGAACATTATAGAACATGTTAGCTGCAAACCCTACGTTTGACCGCGCTGGAAGCCATCTGAAGTTCAGAGGGGGTGGGGGATTTGGTCCCTCATGAAGATAAGTGGAAGCTCATAAACCAGTCAACATATTTGTTCAGAGGCGGTGGGGGATTTGATGCCTTATGAGGCGAAGTGGAAGTTGATAAACCATTCAACATATTTGCTCGGAGAGGGTGGGGTATTTGGTATCATTTTGGCGAGAAGTGGAAGTTAATAGACCATTCAACATATTTGTTCAGAGGGGGTGGGGGGTCTGATCCCTTATGAAGAGTAGATTCCCCTAGTAGAAAGCGTCCATGTTAAACTTATGGATGTCTCAGCCGGATACCACGATTGTTTGAAAGGAGGAAGCTACAGTCCTTACTTGCGTCGCCAGAGAGTAGCGTGTTTGGTGGGTGTAGATCATGTTTGAGGTAGATAGTAGGAGAGAGATCTTGTGGGTTATGGGCGAGCGTGGGGTTTGGTGCGAACATGTTTAATTCGTTACTAATATCTAATCCCATATGTTCATTCACGAGGCCTAAATGTCCCATACATCTACTAATCATCTGTAATCCCATCCCACCTAAACATGGGCACAACACTAGAGAAAAGAGAAACGTGTGTTTTTGCAGACGAAACCTTCACAAACACCGGTGCTGTCAACCTGGGATAAATCGCCTGTGGTTGTTAAGCGGTTAAGAAACAAAAACAACAAGCAGACGATGTCGATTGAAAATAACATTCGCAACTAAACGCAGGCCTGCCATGATTTCATGCCAGGGATTCTCACATTCCTGGCTTTGCGAAAGGCCAAGTATCTTCTTGTGCCGGATCTTGTTTTGTGGTTGTTTTCCAAGGGTAATTCTAAATTCATATCCTCTGGTAAACGAGCTCGCCACTATTAATAGATAAATCATTTATAAATTGCCATGTTCAATGGCTATGTGGTTAAATTACCACAGGGTAATTTTCTAAAATTGGATGGCCACTTTCAGCTGGAAATTCATTCAAGTCATTACAATTTGGGCTCCAGTACTATAGTCGTGATCGGTGGTGAACTGGGATCGCAGCGCACTTCTTATGCCTGGCATCAGAAAATTCCATCAGTGATGAGTGATGGGTGATGATTTTTGCTTTATTGGATCACTCCCCCAAAACTCTATATACATATATATGTATACATATACAGGTACACCCAAATATGCCCATGATCTCTGCAAAATTACTGTGCTGGCCATTTGGTGTGGAAGGACTCGACCCAGTGATCTTGCATCCATGGGTTGCTGTACTATTCCCAGTTGAGTCGTCAACAATACCATGATTGGTTGATTATCATAGGGTATACACCTGGTTCAATTGAGATTGTGAACCAAGCGACAATATGACTACTTATTCACCAACCAATATGTTATTGCACGGGATGTATAGATCATTGGTTGGTAGATGTCCAGATTTTTTTCACACCACTTTTTCAGGTGATCTTCAAAATCCCCAAAAAGGGGAAAAAACAATCCCCGTATATTTGATGGTATTTGGATAGATATCCTGCAAATTGTGGTAACATATAATGCGATTGAGGCAACATAGGAATGGATAATCTACCATCATGCAGATCTAAAGACTGGGGAATATGTTTTTTTTAATGGTTCGGTTGTTTTTTTAAGCCACACCAAATTGGTCACTTGATCCACCCCATCTGAGGCGTTGATTTTCCAGACAGGGCGGGTGAATCTGAAGGTCACTTTGGCCGCTCACTTTGGACGTCCGAGCCGCGAGTGGATCCCTTCCCCATAGGGATACAATGGTGATGTAATGGTATATCAATCATGGGGATATAATATGGGATATATCAATTATGGGGATTTAATGGTGATATATCAATTCTGGTGGTTAGGAGGGAGCTAAGGAGCTATGGGTATTCATATTCCCTATTAAATGGGGAGCTAAGGAGCTACCAAGAGTTTCCCGACCACATACTAGTTGGTATATCAATTATGGGGATAGAATATACTGTTGGTAGAGCAAAACATTTTTATACTGAAATTGGATACAACCAATTTATGGTGAAATTGGAACTGGTTTAAATACTATTGTTTTATTAACATTTGTGGATCATAAGCAACCAACTATAATTTATCCCTTAATAGATTTTGATGTTAAACACCATCCAGAAACCATTGTTTAGTAGGGTTTTACACATATATATATATATATACATTTATATCTATAATATATGTATGTATGTATATATATATATATATATATGTATATTTGTTTATTTATTTGGACCATTTTAGGGGGTGTTAAAAATTACAAGAATGGGATTAGACATGACATGTCGTAAACCCAATAATCCACCGGGTTTGTCTTTACATGTGGTTCTTAGATACACCTTCAAGAATTTGGCCTATGGTTCAGTCTTCCAATGATTTATCACATGACATTTGACTGAATTATAGATGATGTGTTACACCGATAAGATATTATGCAAGATACCCTCTGGTAAACTAACATAGCTATTGAAAATGGCCATAGAAATAGTGAGTTTTCCCATGACAAATGGTGATCTTCCATAGTTTTTTGTATTTTTACCAGAGGGTATATACAGTAGTTATATACACATCTCGGTAAATTATAGCGACTTCACTATGAGGTCACTGCATATGTTAGTATAGGGAACCATCCACAAATGACCTTCAACGTGGTTTTTTTTCTTTCCAATTGATTATTATGATCCATATGATAAATATATTCATAAATATCCATATAATTATGTGTATATATATATACATTATATATATAAGAATTATATATATACACATACGTATATATATATATATATCTATAATTCCTCTTTTTAAAACCTAGGCATAGATAAATCATAGATAGAGACAGGACAATTGTTGAAGTTCATTCCGTAAGGTGCTCGCAATGGCAGGTGATTCGCAAAGCCTGCGACTTGAGCGTCGAGGTCACGGCAACGTCGCCTAAGCCAGCATATCTAACTGGTCATCTAACAGTTTGCTATTGAACATGGCCACTCATAGCTGATTTACTTGTCAAATAATTGAGATGTTCCATAGCTATGGTAGTTTACCAGAGGGTAACTTACTCTTTGATCATCAAACATGGGGCTTCAAGGCACAGACTCACTTGAAGAAAATCTGCGGGAAGGGAACCAGCAGCAAACAAAAATGGATTGTGGGCCCACAGATGGACTGGCATGATTGGTCATTGGTGCCAAATCCAGTTCTCTTCAAGGTATCAAATTAGAACCTGTCGAACTTAGCGAGTGGTTCAGAACCATCGTTGACATGTTTCTCTAATTAGGCATTCCTTTCATTTATATATATATATTGTATATATATATATTGTATATATAATATATATATATATATCCATATCCACTTATAACCTTTTCCATACCTGGGTAATAGTGATATCCAGAGTTGCCCAGCTGATTAAGCGGATGGTCCTCTAGGAATGACCCTCAAACGACTGACGGAGAGCTCACACCTACTTCCAACAACCCATTGAAAGGATATGAAATACCCTCTGGTAATTTAACATAGCTATTGAAAACGACCATTTATAGTGGGTTTACCCATTAAGAATGGTGATTTTCCATAGTTATGTTAGTTTACCAGAGGGTACACTGCATTTTTTTGATTGAGAAGCTTCAGTGCTTTTCAGGTGTTTGGAAGTCAGGGATACCATCGAAACTTTGGACGGTCCACGGTCCATGACATTCCATGGGTGTTCAAATACCACTCCACTGATGGCCTGAACATTGAAGGATCTATGGACCTTAACCAACGGCTGTGTGACAGATTTCAACCGCCACATTCTGGTTGGGCACACAATTTTCTGTGATATTATATATGTATAATTATATATATATATACATTATAGGTCCATCGGCTTAAAGTATTTCTCCGTTCCTCTTTGGTTTAACCATCGTGTACTATGGCAAAGCCGATTGGCTTTGAGTCTTTCAAATTGGGGCACCCACATGGCGCAGAAGTTTGGAATGCCTGATGTTCCTGGAATAGAACATCTAGGTCTAATCAAAAACAAAGATCTAATGGAGTCGTTCCCTTCAAACATCTGTGGTAGCCCAAAAAACAAGGATATTCGACTGCCAGGACATAGTTTCCATCCCCCATGACATGAAATGCAAGCTTCGCAGCGTCCGCGCAGTTTGCCCCAGTGAATATTGCTGGCTGAGAAATTTTCCCGAGGCAGTTCTGGCAGTACCATGCAGTACCTGGAGGTCAGATTTTCGTTGGAAAATGCTGGTGGTAAATCACAGAGATTTTGTTTCCCTAGTGATTTCCTCTCTACCCTCTGGTAAACTAACATAACTATGGAAAATCACCATTCTTAATGGGTAAACCCACTATAAATGGTCATTTTCAATAGCTATGTTAGTCATTACCAGAGGGTAGGAGATCCCACATCTCAAGGTTCCACACGTTTTGCACAGATTCACACAGTGTCGAGGCCAGCGGCAATGAACGACCTACATCATATGTTCAAAGAAACTACAGTGTACAAGCAGCTTTTGAATCCCACCCGGTTATATGTTTTTTCAATCCATAACACATTCGGAGGTCATAGATTTTCTCAGATACCCTCCGGTCATCAAACGTACCCATCTGGAAACATCCCTCGCCTCATGGTCGGCTTTTTGTGACGCTGCGATGACGCGACGGGAATTGGAGGAGTGGCTAGCGATGGCTAGCGGGGCGTCCACATGTGGGATGAAGATTGGATATACTACCATATACTACCATTATTTTTCATTATATAAGCTTAAATAATTATATATCTTGGTAAATTATAACAACCTAACTACGACCTCACTATAACCATAGTTACTAAGGGGAATCATCCCCAAATGGCCTTAATTCAGGTTACTGTAGTGAAATATTATAATTTACCCATATATATATAGTCAACTACCATTATTAGATAAGATATATTATATATATTATATATAATTATGACGACCTCACTTGACCTCACAAAAAGCGACGTCACTGATGTCACGACGTAATGATGGTTAGGATTGGGGTAACTACCCCAAAATGGCCAAGTGCTTCAGGTTGGTGAATTGTTGCAATTGTACTTTATTCAGATATATTATATTTGGTCAAAACATGTCAAAATCAAAACATGTCAAAGCATGTCAAACCATGTCAAAACATTGCCTTTTTCTTCCGGTAATAAGGGTTAATAGACCCATGACAAGGAGTCCCCAATGATGATGGGATGACCATACTCCATATAACATGCTTTGACCATGGCACATATAGCAACCTGCAAAACAAACCAAAAATACGTATAGAAAAGTAAAAGCCTACTAAGGTATGGATGTATGACTGTTTTTGTTTAGTGGTTGCTAAAAAACAGTCAGCTATAGATTCACTATCCAGAGGATTTGACATGCATGATTTTGAATCTCAAATTTATTGATTGAATTCTTTATCAGCAAAAAGTCATAGTGATTCCAAAAATATCTCAAGCGTTGTGGACTGGACCCTTCCCAAATTGATGTTTTTTCACCACAACAATTCCCAATATGTGGATCAGCATGGTACTTGGACGAAACCCACTGGAGCTTAAGTCCCCTAAGACCTCGCATACTATAGCTATAGCTACCACTTGAGATGCCGACTCCCTAGGCCTAGGGACCAGAAACTGCGAACTGGAGGGATCGTGGGAACGTTTTCTGAATTGGTATGCCTTTGGATTCAGATTTCTTAGGGCGGTGTTGCCTTGACAAACACCAAAGAGGACAGGTAAGGCAATCTACATTCACGGTATCGCCTTTGTATACTGTGGACCAAAAAACCCGCCAAAAAGATGGGTTCGGATCTCAAAAACTACCTGATGCACTGATGCATTCCAAGATTGCCTGCCAATAACTTGCTTTTCTGTGTCAAGACTTGGAAGACGATCCATTTAAGGTGATTGTTGTGTATTTGTATCTATATGGTCCCGTCCTCCGTCTCTCCACCCCCCCCCTCCCCCCCCCATGGGTTGGGTCCCCAGGTACCACCCCCCCTTTCCTTCTATTTGCAAGCTATTGGCAGCATTTCTGATGTCCAGCTTCGTATTTGCTAGGTCTTTGCAGCATTTCTGACTACCAGCCTTGCATTTACTAGGTACATGCTACCTTTTCGGCGACCTACGCAGCACACATACTCCCTCAAAGTACCCACGTGACGCCTACGTACTACCCATAGTCATATATACATGTGTTATGTATCTACTTCCTATTTACTACCTGTGTACTCTGACAACATTACATGTGTTTGACATATACCGTACCTACCATACATTCCAATGATGCCATGCATACCATACCTATCATACCTATCATACATACCACATATACCATACATATGCAACATAATTGCCACACCTACCATACATACAATAGCAAACATACATGCCATACATAACATACCTACCATACATACCAAACATACCATACTTTCCAAACATGCCAAACCAGACAGACCATACACACCATACATACCCAACGTACCATACCACACCCCCACCACACCACAGGGGGGGAGGGGGACAGTACCACACCCCCACCACACCACAGGGGGGGCAGGGGGGGACGGTGCTGGGTCCCTAGGTAGCATCCCCCCTTCCCTTCTATTGGCAAGCTATTGGCAGCATTTCTGATGTCCAGCTTCGTATTTGCTAGGTCTTTGCAGCATTTCTGACTACCAGCCTCGCATTTACTAGGTACATGCTACCTTTTAGGTGACCTACGTAGCACATATACTCCCTCAAAGTACCTACGTGACGCCTACGTACTACCTATAGTGATATATATATATATATATACATGTGTTATGTATCTACTTCCTATTTACTACCTGTGTACTCTGACAACATTATTTTAACATATACCATACCTACCATACATTCCAATGATGCCATGCATACCATACCTATCATACCTATCATACATACCACATATACCATACATATGCAACAGAATTGCCACACCTACCATACATACAATAGCAAACATACATGCCATACATACCATACCTACCATACATACCAAACATACCATACTTTCCAAACATGCCATACTTTCCAAACATGCCATACTTTCCAAACATGCCATACCAGACCGACCATACACACCATACATACCCAACATACCATACCACACCCCCACCACACCACAGGGGGGGAGGGGGACAGTACCACACCCCCACCACACCACAGGGGGGGAGGGGGAAGATCTCAATATGGGACCCATCCCATGCGGGGGGGGGGAGCGGGGGGGTGGCAGGGCCTGGTGATATGTATGCATGTAGTTCTCTTTGATGCATCAGACATTACTTTTGACACCTTTGACCTAGTAAAGCACAGCAGCTCTTGTAGCCGCAGGACTCCCCAAGGGCATCTTCTGAAAGTGCCTGGGTTAACCGTGGGAGAATTTTCGCGCAGTTGATTGTTGGCCCTGTGCGTGTGGGTTTTCACTGCTCGGATGTTTGCAGCAAGTGGGCTTCTCTAGTCTGTTTAACACTTGGATTTCAACTTCAACCCCGGAAACATGATGAATGTCTCCCTTGAAACCATGAAAAGCCGTGGATTTTCGATGATTTCAGGTGATGTAATTCAACTGTTAAAGATGGATACGTTGCAGATTCCGCCTAAGGCACTCATACGCTCTCCTCGTCCCCTGGAATGAGGCTGGGATTGGCTTTACCTTGGGATTATAGTGGGTTAATAATCATTCATAATGGGATCATAATCGTGGGTTAATCATGATATATCCGATAATACAGGGATTTAATGGTGATTTGATGGGATTTCATGGTGATCTAAAGCTGATTTGATGGTGATGGATCATGGGATATACCCTCCGGTGTCAGAAAGAACATGGCTAGCTGGGAAATCCCCGAAGTAAATGCAAGTTTATAGCTGGGAACATCCTCAATAAATGGATGTTCCAGCACGCCATGTTTGATTACTAGAGGGTACTGCAGT